AACGTTTTGGAGGAGTTGGATGTGAGGTAGGAGCCTTTTGTAATCTCGATATCTGATGATCAGATTAGGGATCGGTAATCAAGTTAGAAGCAGAAGAGGTCGAGCTCTCCGTTTTAATCTTTCTTTCATGAATCGGAGATGAAAGTGACCTGACATTTTAGCATGTTCCTCTAAATATATAGTTCACGAGCCTTTGAGATTGCTTTGCAAGATTTCCAGCTTTTACTAAATGGTAGCACTTGTTTTTTAGAGTTTTGCTGCTATAAAAAAGATCAAATAATCCTCTTCTCCTTTTTTTTTTTGTTGCTCCGAGCCGCTTCCTTAACTTTTTCAGTTAAATAAAGCATCTTTTAAAAAGTTCTTGCAAGTTTTGCCACTCACATAAATAATATCGTTTCATAAAAAATAACACATTATGATTGCATCTCTCGCACTCAACACGCTTTTGTTTTTTTTCTGTTTTTTTTCCACAGTAACAACCGAATCCCCCCTGAGGGAGCCATCCGCCTCGCTCTGGGCCTCAAAGCAAACAAGACAATCAAATTCCTGCATGTAAGCTGTTGAAAAGAGATTGTTTCTTGCTTCACGAGCAGCGGGAGCACGAGTGGAAAGAGCGGGGCAAAATAAATGGATCTCAGTACACTGCGTTTTTTTTTGTTTTTGAGTGACTGAAGACTTCAGCAGCTCCAAAATGTGACACTTTTGCATTTGAGCCGTATCAAGCGCTTCTGAAATAAAGTCTGATCGCTTCTGTGAAGAAAGAGTGGGATTTAACTTTGGAAACTCTTTCATAATACCCGTATATTAGCCAAAATAGCAGCTACGGTTGCTTATTTCCATCTTATGAACGGAAGCAGATGGAAGTTTAAATGTTACAAGACAACAGGTTTGCATTTAGTCTATCGAGACGTTTTCTTTTGTCAGGAAGTTTATCAAAAATCTGTATTTCGAATTATCAAAATTGGCCTGAATGATATATATAAACTGTTCACATCTGTAAATCATTTAATCTGAACATGCATCTCCAGGGAAGCTACTTTTGATTTTTTTAAAAAGGCCATTGGTTCCATAAAAGTCTTTTTGGGGGGTAAAAAATCCAGTAAGGAACTCTAGACCAGTATAATGGAACCATTCTCTCATTTAACAACAAAGTGAAGTTGGTTTGTGGTTTACCATCAAGTCAGATCCCATGTCTGTCACCAGGTTTGTTCAGAACATTTATGGACAGAATTTCAAGGTATAGACGTTCACTGGAGGGATTCCTCTCAATTGTTGTTTGAGGCGCATTTCCTCCAAATGGTGTCCAGGGGTTTAAGGATTGGTGAAGGTCTTGTATAATTCACTCATATCTGTGTTGCGATTTCCTCCACAGAGTTCACAGAGTTCAAATGAGCCTGAAAAAAAAGTTTTTTCTTCTTGTAGTTGTTTGAGACGGTTACATTTCTTCTCCCTCTCAGAGTAGGTGGCTGTCTGCCTGACCACTTAGCACAAGGTTACCAATCAAGACACCTTCAGCTGACGGCTGAATTCTCTCTTTTTCTTTATCTTTTTCCTTTTTTAACTCAACCATGTTCGTGTTAGTTGATGATCATAAAGGAATCTGAAGTGCAATAAATTATTTTTGTTGCTCTGTTGAATACAGTCATATTTGTTGCTAGAAGTCATTTTCATGCAAACAGTAAAGGTTTTAATTCATTGAAATTTTAGGAAAAGACCAGCCAAGAAAAAAAACAATCCAAAGAGCAAAGTGTCACTTCTAAAAACCAGGCTGTCAGCGTGTTCATTAAAGTGCTTTTAGTCCCTTTCGTTGGATTAGAATCCAGCTAATTCATTATTTCTGATGTCAGTCATGTCATCAGCGTCTGAAAATGCTGAAAAGGCAATGTTAAAAAGATTAGACGGGGTGTAGAGAATGGGAATTTAATTGTTTTTAAAAGCCCTAGCCATTCAATACCTGCAAATTCTTACATTTTGTTTTGGCTAGATTGGCAGGAACCCCATCCAGAGTGCCGGTTGCTACGGGATACTTCAGTCGGTTCGAGAAAATCCAAATTCAGCCATGGAGACACTGGACTTTTCAGTAAGGCACACAGCTATTTTTTAAAAGTTTTTAATTCAAAACTTTTTGCAAGAGGCAAACTCATTCACTCAATTGTCTTCATCTCTTTCCCTCCAGAACATCCCAGTCAACCAGGAGTTTGAGGAGTTGTACTCAGCAGTGAAAGAGATCTTCCCTGGGCTCCGAGTTAAGCACGGGGGCCTTAGCGGCACTTTCGGTCGAGCGAAAGCCGGAAAAGAGTGACTTTAACTTCAGATTTCGAATGTTTCGTCAACCTCCTGTGAAGGTTTTCATCAGCAGACACTGCGTTACAAAGGTGTCTCATCTCTATCCAGACGCCTTGAATAACAAAATGTGAAACACACAAAACGGGGACCGTAACAGTGACGACTTTCTCTAGACGTTTGAGAGGGAATACACGGAGCCCCTCTGATGACATGGTCAAAAAAAAAATTAATTGTGGCCACGAAATACTACTTCGTGGCCACGCAATAAGTCTAACTTGCGCATGAAATACTAATTCATAATATTAATATCATTCCTGGACTAAATCATCAGAGGGCTCCGTAGTACGGTTTACACTTTGTAAACATCCACCGGTAACCGTGATCGTTCCCAGGGCCGTGCAGTTGGTCAACAATGAAACATATCCCGGAGTCCAAGTCGTACCTTCGCCGGTAAAGCAACCTGGCTCTCAACATCCTGTTTAAATGTCTCTCGGTAATGACGGTTCCTTGCAATGCCAGGCTTTTCATAATGTCTTTGTAGCTCATTCCCAGCCTAAAATAAAAATGTATCAAACTGTCCCTTTCCATCGTGGAGCTTTAGCCTCTCTAATGCCGCTACCTTAGACCTTAGAGAAGGCGCGCTCGATTTGCTTACCCAGTTGTCCAGGAATGATATTAATATTATTAATAAGTATTTCGTGCGCACGTTAAACTTATTGCGTGGCCACGAAGTAGTATTTCGTGCGCACGAAGTACTACTTCGTGGCCACAATGAAAACATTTTTTTGACCATGTCATCAGAGGGGCTCCGTAGAAATAGCTTTTGTGTGGTGCTCGATAAGAGTGATGGTCAAGTCGGTGAAAGAGTGTCTACTGTACAATGCAGGTGTCGGGCACGATTCGTTTTAGGTATGATCTGATTTGATGTTATGTAATGCCAGTGGGTAGAATGATGGAGAGGAGCAGAGAGCGCTGCATTGTGTATGAAAAGTGGGTTGCACAAAAAGGATTTAAGTACTGCGTGACTAGTTTAACAGAAAGAGAGAGAAAAAAAAACAGCTTTGAAAGATCAGTCTCCTGTTAGATAAGAGACCTGTTTACTGGAGCAGGACTTCTCAAATTGTGTTAGATACAGTCAAATGGGATTCTAGATACAAAGCTCCTACGCCCACGCCCCAAATCAAGCATTAAATCATTCCATTTTGAATATCTGTATGTATTAGAGCTGTAAAATACCTGCATTTGTACCGTCTAGAAAATGAAATAGATTTATTAGATATATTAGATGTCTAATCCCTTAATAAAAACAGTTGAGCAAATGGCATGGTGTGGTTTTAGATCATTTTGAATGGAGAGACAGAAGAAACCACCAAAAAGAAAGATGAATACAATGGACTGTCATATTCAAAAGCGAGACTGAAGAAAAGAGGCCCCAAATACAAGATCCACTTGGCAGACATGCAAGTCCGCCCATCCAAGTCGGCCATTTTGATTACGTCATGTGACTATGAGCTTTCTTAGGCGTAAACAAAACTTTACTTCCCAGAGCAAATAAAAAAAACAAAGATGTCGGTAAGTGAAAAATACATAATTTTATGTTCATAGGCCTAACGATATGACTTTGTTGACCCTGCTGGATGAAATATTTATGATATTTGATGTAACGATTTAGTTTATTGTGTTCATTAGTTTTTTGCATCATAAGGTGGTAGTTTGGAATTGCAAATTAACCTAACATGCAGGTTTTTGGACGGTGGGAGGAAGCCGGAGAACCCGGAGAGAACCCAGGCAGACACAGGTCCAAATACCTTACATTATCACCCTTACAGCTTAATTTATCTAATAAATGTGGGTACAGTGGAACAGAAATGTCAGTTCCTGGACCTCAACCCAGCAAAGCTTCATTTAAAAAAGGGTTTTAGGGTCAAAGCTGTTCCTTTATTAGGGTGAAAGTCTGTCCAGGTTCCCTAACAAAGTCTCAAACATGAACAATTTATCAACAGCTTTGTTAATGTCTCCAAAAGAAATGCCCCTAGAGTCCCTGAAAAAGGGGTCCGCATTTAAAAAAGCTGCATGAATTCTACACTCTCCTCCATTTTGGATGCCGATGCCCTGAAACAAAGTTTAAGTAGCTGCTTATTGAGCTCATACTTATTATTTGGTAGGATATTCCTTGACTTTGCCTTATAATATCATCAAAGTTTGAGGATATACTTGCTAAATATATGAATACCTATATCATTTTTCCTTAGGTGCAACTATCCTGTGCATTGTAGATGTCTTCTTTCTTTCACCCTTTAACTAATGTTTGTCTCAAATCAGTGAGAACGAGGGGTTTTATTCATTCAAATCAGGTTTGTTGGAGCAGGGAAGTAGCTTAAAAATGCAAGGCGGCCTCCTTAAGGACGAGAGTAGTAGGACACTGCTTCAAACATTTAACAGGTAAGCAGAGATAACCAAAGTCTGCTCTTTAACATAACCTCTCCTGATAAATGCTCTGTTCTAAAGCGTTTACTTAGTTTGTGACTTTGGGAAAACAAAGTTTAAGTCCCAAATCCAAGTACTTTTCTGTTGTTTTATTTCTCAACCGCATATACATATACATATATGTATATATGTATATATATATATATATATATATATATATATAATATTTATGTTTTTATTTATGTATCTTTTCTTTTTACCTGAGAAAAAGCAGTTTGGATTTGGGGAGATTGAAGGTGTTGCACTAAATATAGCAAAACAAATGATCCAAAATGCCAACACACAGTAAAGGAAGATGCTATTTTATATTTTGTAGATTTATTTTAAAGGTTTTATTCCTTTAGAAGAAAGTTATTCTTTTAGAATATAATAGGCAACACCATGATCATTTATACATCAAAGGACTGGGGTAAAAAAAATACTCTTTACTTTGCTATTGTGTTCCATTTTTTCCTGCAAACACATTTGGATGGTGCACCACGGCACTGTGGGGTGATTGTTGACACATTTGTGGGGACAGCTTCAGGCCTACCGGCAGAACAGTCCGGGACTGTGCTTTATCTTGTCTGTGTGGGTTCCCTCTAAAATGCTCTCATACCTCCCACACTCCAAAAACAAGCACGCTAGGTTGACTTGGGTTTCTGAGCAGATCGTAGGAGTGAGCCGTTAATGGACGTTTGTCTCGTTTGTCTTTGTGTTGGTTCACTAATGGACGGGAAACCTGTTCACCCAGCGTCCAGAAATATATCCCCTGTCCATCTTTGCCCCCCAGTCACTGTGTTGTTGATGCTGTTTAGTACCAGTTCATAACTACCACCTGTTGAATGCACCTTTTCTAAAAATAATAATAATAATTAAAAAATAAATAAATAAATAAAATAAAAAAATAAAAAAATAAAAGGATTTTTTAAAAAATAAATAAATAAATAAAAATAAATAAATACATAAATAAAAATAAAAAAAAATTAAAAAAATTAAAAAATTAAAAAATTAAAAGATAAAGAAAATAAAAAATAATGCACCTTTTCTTCTAACACCGTACGACAAACCCTGAAATAGTATTTTTCAGTTTAAAAAATGGACTCATGCAAACCAGTTAACTAATGTGAAATTTGGTTTCTAATGTAATTAGAATTCTGTCAGGATCAAATCTGAAAATCTCAGCCCCTCGTGGACGTTTTAAATCCAATTCAATGGGATTCAATCCAAAAGACGAGAGCTAAAGAAAGAGACGTTCACACAAAGAGACCCGTGGACATCCCAAAGTTGAGCCTATGTGGCTGAACTGGCTTTAAAAAGTGTGTTAGCACTACAAATTAAAACATTTCGAGCTTTGTGGCACGGAAGGGTCTCTTCTACTTCATCAAAGGTTAGTAGATACAGACCTACAAGGATAATTTTTCTCAATTTCTTGCTGTTTGTAAAGTGGTAAAGTTCTTTCTAAAGGGTTCCCAAGCTTTTCACTCACAGTCTGATAATGCACAGTAATGTAATTATTAAACATAATGGGCATTGCTGGCTCAAATAAATCATTTAGTTAGTTTTCTACTACCTAGATGTTGTCACAGAGGGCTATCACCCCCCCACACATTGATTAGTGTGGATTGCATCACTCAGTCAGGCGTGCTTTTAATCTATGGCCTGCAAACCGTCAGCAGGTCTCCCCGTATGATCACCCACAGGATGACATCACAGGTCGTCGGGTAAACATTAACCAGCCGGGGACTTTGACGCGTCAGACTGCTGTTTCACTCGAAAGAGGAACATGGCGACGGCCGGTTCTGTGTGGAAAACGGGACGAATACTGTACAGACCTTCTGTCTGTCTACAACAAGCAAACAGGTAAGCCTGGCCACCTTCTTTATTGCCTTCTGTCTGCTGTGGAACAAAAAACGACTTTAAACTGTTGCATACGGCGGATCTTAAAGATGAAAAGGTGAAATTGTTAAAAAAAAGGGTTTAAATAAAATGGCTTATTTTCTGAAATGGCTTAAAAATCTACAAGTTTTGCATTAGTGTGTGAAGCAAACATATATGTATATATACATGTACACATACAAACTTGGTTCAGTTTTTATATATAAATATACATATAATATACATACATAAAATGTACATATATACATATACATATATATTCAAATATATATTTGAATAGCAATCTTGTATGTATTCTTTGGATCAACACGATTTAATAATAACTTTTGTGTTATGTAAAAGACGCTTTCAAAACTACTTCAATCATTTCCATGACCTCTGACCTTTGCACTATAAAGACGCACAGCATGTTAAAAAAAAGGCAGTAAACAACATTTCGGGGCCTTTATCTGTGCGGGTTTCCTCCGAGGCAACTTTTAAAAGTTTATTTATTTATTTCCCTTATTGCACATTGCTATTTTTGACAGAGTGCCATGGGAAGCTCATGTTTAATCATAGTTTCCTAATTAAAGCCACGGGCCCATGAGGTTGTTAAGAGGAATTTGACTGACCTTGAAAGTTTCAGTTTTGTTTTATTTTTTGGGGGAAAACATTAGGCCTTAGAAAACTGATGTTGTGAATTAACAGATGGCTTTGAGAGTGCAGCGTTTTTAAGCGGCACGATATTGCTCCCTAATCCTGCCAACAAAACAGAAACTGGAGGTTAATTGAAGCAACTTAAGAAGGAGTTTGATAAAGTATTAGTTGTTAAAGAAGAAAAAAAAAGAATTAAAAAAGACAAGTCCTTGAAATCTATTTTTAGCTGGTTGTTGGAGCTTTTTTTTTTAATAGCAGGATGCTGTATTTTCTTGGTCGGGCTACCAACTGTATTCGGTGGGTGGGGAAAAGCCAGAGAACACCCACACAGACACAGGGAGAACACGCAATTCCACACAGAAAGGCCTCCGGGTATTCGGACCTGGAACCTTTTTGCTGTCAGGCGACGATGTTGACCACCGGTATCCTCCTACTTTCCAAAAACATGCGTGTTGGGTTAATTGAACACTCTAAATTGCGCCTAGAAGTGACTGTGAGTTTGGGTGGTTGTTTGTCTCTGTGTGGCCCTGTGTGGCTCTACAACAAACCGCAGCTAAAACATACAGTGGGGGAAATAAGTATTTGACCCCTTGCTGATTTTGCAGGTTTGCCCACTTACAAAGAATGCTTATTTTTCCTCATCAGATGGTTATCAATTTTTATAAATTCATATGATGTGATTTTCTGGAATTTTCTTTGGGATTCTGTCTTTCACTGTTAGAATGTACATAAGATTAAAGTTACAGATCGTTGCATTCTTCGTAAGTAGGAAACCGGCAAAATCAGCATCCAACATCCTTGTGTTTTTATTGACAAGAACAATAATGGAACAGTTTTTTTTTATAGTCTAAACTCCAATCTTGCTTTTATAATACTGTCTGGATAATTTCCCCATTCATTCTCTTTGAAACAACTGTCCCAATGTACATCTTAAACACGGATTTAAATGTCTGCCGTCAGACTTTATGAGTGAGTTAGATCCTGATATTTGGGACTTGACTGGAACCCCTCGAATTTCCAATCTGTCTCGCCCCATTTATGGACTTCAAACTCACCCATCCACTTATCCGCATATTTTTCCATCTCAAAGGCTATTAGCATGTCTATCTTTTAACCCATGTGCCATCCACATCTCCGGGATGACTTGAAAGTTTTTTCCTCGTTAAATCCACAACTTTTTGCGGCTAATGGTTTTTTTACTCTGAGCCTTTTTGTTTCTGCCTCTCGTCTCTTTCTGTGTAGGAGGTTTTCAGAGAGTGGCGACAAAGGCTGGTTCCGGTCCCTGTTTGTTAACAAAGTGGAGGCCAGGAAAGACGCTCACTCCAACCTGCTGTCGAAGAAAGAGATCAGCAACCTGTATAAAATCCAGTGTAAGGCCCTTTTTTTTCTTACATTTTAAACCCGTTTTGCCTTCAAATGTGTGCTTTCAGATGCCCAGTGAGAAGGGAGCATTTTGCACTGAGATACTCACAATAATCTATCATCTATTTCAGTGTTTTTCAACCACTGTGCCTCGGTACACTAGTGTGCCGTGAGTGATAGTCAGGTTTGCCGTAGAAAATCATCCTATTTCACCTAATTGGTCTAAAAGAAATTTTTGATAAGGAATTAATTTTCTGCAAATAATATGCCTTTTTTGAGTGTCTGTGCTGTTCTAGTGACTGGTGGCATAATCATGTAATAATTCCTTATGACTAGATTTTGTATTTAATTTTGCATATTGAAGTGGACATGTTAAGTGCAATTTGAAAGAAGAAATATAAAATATGATAAAAATACATTTTTGTGTGTATTTGATTCCTATGCAAGACACTTAAGATAAGATAAGAATAAAATAAGAATAACTATAGTGTCACTATAGGCGGCTACAGATTTGTTTGACATTTTGGGTTGGTGGTGTGCCTCGGGATTTTTTCAATATAAAACTGTACCTTGGCTCAAAAAAGGTTGAAAAACACTGATCTATTTATCTCTACAGACAAAAGCCGAATAGATAATGTTGATTCAATTGAATCCACATGACCACCCTGACCCCAGAGGAAGCATTGTTTCACATGTAGGCCGCCGTGGGTTTAATAGTCTGACGTTTTAAGTCGGAGCAATTCGTCAGGTCTTTTTTTTTTTTACCCAGTCCGACGTGATAACTGTGTCAGTCTTTTGAGCCGAAATCCATCATTCCTCCCAGACTTTGATCTTTTATGTGGTTCGGAGATTTGAATTGGCTGGTTTTTGTCATCCGCGGCCTGTAATGTTTCACTAGTGAATCGGTTTTTGTGCGCGATTTCCGTGCTGAATCGGAGTGTGAAATTACTTTGTTGAAGATTTTGATTGCATATCTTTAAAGAAAAACATTCATTTCTCATGAACGCCTTTTCTCTTCAAAGTTCACAACGTCAAACCCGAGTGCCTGGATGCGTACAACAGTCTGGAGTAAGTGTTTCCTCTGTTTCAAAGTGTTTCCTTTAAACTGCGTTCTTTTGAACTAGCCAAAAAAATAACACCTGTGTACAAAAAGTTAACATCTTTCATCAAGACATGCTTCATCAAGACATATAGAGTTAAAATCTAAAGTCATTTCTATACATGTATACTTATTTGTGACATCCAAAAAGATTTGCCCAATTTCTGCCAAGATTTCAGAAGTTTAATGAGCTTGTTAAAACTGAAGCCTGTTCACGGTCGCTGTGGGGAAAAAGGGCAGATGATGCAAATTTTTCAGGGATATAAATAATCGGACTTCTCAGACCTTGCCCCAGCAATCTTGTAATCCACTTAGCAGCCAATTGTGAGTCTGAAAATTTTGTGAATAGATGCTCACAAATTAGGGGAAGGTTGTCAAAGAGATAGCGATAAAATTACAAAAAACAGAAAATCAGCCCTCAAAGGCCAGTTCATTATCATAGCATGCTGCTTAAGAGACGGTTTGTCTGCAGAAAGAGTTATTGATTCTGTTAAATAAGATTAAAAGTGAAAAATAACTTAAAAATTGTGAAAAACCTAAAACTGGAAAGCAATAAAATAATTTATTTTCGGGAGAATGAGAGAAATCCCTAAAAAAATTCAAAAAATGCAACAGTGCAATTGCTTAAAAGTTCTCTTTTGTGTTCTTTTAATCTAAACTATGAGATTGTCTGTCATTTTTTCCTCAGCTGTTTAGGGTATCGGGGATTTTAGCAGAGTGCGCAAACTCATGCAAAACCAATGTACTGTACTTCTCATAGGCTGAAAATGAGAGATTAGCCTTTATCTGAGGGCCAGCAGGTTTCCCCCTCATTAACATTAACTTCATTTGATGGGGAAAAAAACCCTTTTGGGATCATAACATTAACTGACCGTAAAGGAAGTAGAATATATCTGAGCGTGTGATGAAGTTAGAGAGGATTTTTTTCTTATGGACTTTTTATTTTTTACCCTCCGTGTTCCCTGAGTGCCCTCTAGTTGGTCGTTATGCCAACATGACAGTAAATCATAAAGGAAATCATCAATTTTTGTGTTTGCATTTCTGTGTTTGTTCGTTTTATGTGGCATTCAGGGCCGAAGTGCAAAACAGGCTCCATCACGACCAGGATTACCCGTGCGAGGTGGTGGGGAGCTGGAATACCTGGTATGGAGAGCAGGATCAGGCCGGTAAGCCTCACTGAAACAGTTAATAGGTATAACAGAAAACCTTTTGAAAATGTCATCTTTGTTTGATCCGGAAAGCTGCGCGAGGACACACACGTTTGTGTGTCGTTAGCTCAGAGACGTATTTTAAGTGGCTCCTCCATGGCTATAGGGTCTTTTTTCCTGGGATTACACACAGGCACTTCCTGATGAGTCACCTCTCTTTTCACGTATGATCATTTGCACTGTTTAGTGTACATAGAGGGCATTTAGCACCAATAAGAAGGGATAGTAGTGCACGGTGATGGAGGCTCTGCTGGCTTTGGATGTGTGGGAGGCCTCGCTCACGACACGGTGCTGCGCTGACACCTGCTGGTCTGTTTTGGTAGTGCACCTTTGGCGTTACAGAGGAGGCTATCCCGCTTTGACTGAATGTCTGCACAAACTGAGAACAGACAAGGTATGCCGCAAACTCTTCCCTTTTTTCCTAGTTGCTAAAATAGTCAAAGGCCACTGGAACTTATTTGTATTTTTTTTATCTATTGTAACCACTGCAGATACCATTAGAATGAACATGTCTTTGGATACGAATGCTGCTGTTTAGATATCACACAAATCAGCATGTGATTTGCATACAGAGAACCTATTAAGCTAAAAATAATAATGATAATTTAAAAAACTCACGGCTTTTTGAGTGTTTTATATCTTACTTTTGATTCTAGAACAAATAAAGCATATAAATGATTTTTTCCATACTCTTTTCATGTAAATAAAAAAATGCATCTGTGCAGGAATACTTGGAGTTTCGCAAGGAGAGGGCCAAAATGCTGATTTCGAGGCGTAACCAGCTTCTCCTGGAGTTCTGTTTCTGGAACGAGCCGCTGCCGAGACAAGGACCGAACATCTATGAACTGCGCACCTATAACCTGAAGGTGTCCTAACAACACGCATCGCATCTCCATTCCCTGCACAAATTCAGACATTTCTCCTTATATTTTGTTGTATTAGAAGCTACATGACCTCTCACCCTTCTTTGAACTATCTAACTTTTTTTTTATTGAATTGAGGTTCAAGATGAGCCTCATAAAGCACCGCTTGCCTATCTGGACCATTTCTAAAACAGTTCTGCTACATTTTAGTTAGTAAGTCTTGGTGATCCCATGACTATTGTTTCTGAAATTATCATAGGATATTCATTCTCAGACACATACCACTTTTTTAAGACTCCTTGTGTAATTCAAACTTAATCATTGTTGACCGTTTGAGTTAAGGGGGGATAACCCTAGAGGGTGGCACACCCCAGTCCATTAAAGGGCCACGCAGAGACAAACAACCTCCCACACTTACAGAAATTGTATTCGGTGGGTGGGAAGAAGCCAGAGAACACCCACACAGACACAGGGAGAACACGCAATTCCACACAAAAAGGCCTCCGGGAATTCGAACCTGGAACCTTTTTGCTGTGGACGGTGCTGACCACCGGTATCCTCCTACTTTAAAAAAAAAAAAATGTTGGTTAACTGAACACTATAAATTGCGCCTTAGAAGTGACTGTGAGTTTGGGTGGTTGTTTGTCTCTGTGTGGCTCAACAGAAAACAGCAGTTAAAATATAAATAGCACTTACGCCGTTGTGGTTGTGCATACTAAAAACAACAATCTATCTTAATTGCGTGGTAGTAGCGCTGTTGTTGTCGTAGTTTGAATCCATGTCAACATGTTTTCCTGCGTTGTGTGTTTCAGCCCGGGACCATGCTCGAATGGGGCAACCGCTGGTAAGACGGCCTCCATTTCATTTTTTTTCTTCTTTCTTATCATTTTTTTTTTCTTCCTTCTTAATATCTTTTGCAAATAACACGGGTTGCTAGATATTTGGCTCGTGTAGGCATTTGGTGATGCTCAGGTGAGGATCATACACCTGAAAATGGCGTCTCACCACAGGGCGAGAGCAATCAAATACAGACAGGAGAACCACGAGGCGGTGGGCGGGTTCTTCACTCAGATCGGCGAACTGTACGTGGTTCATCACCTGTGGGGTAAGAAAAAGACTTAGAGATAGACTCTAAATCAATAAAGAATGTTGTTTTGGGGGATTTTGGGAGGTGGAATGAATCAGAATACCTCTGGATTCATCCCGCTGAGAAGTCATTGATAACTGACTGCGTGACAGTTCCAGTGGTAGACCCACATACAAACTCTTTAAAAAAATAATCTATTTTTTGCTTTTTCTGTTGGATTTTCGTTTAATTAATTGAACCATGCTTCATGACTTTATTTCTTTCTCCTTCTAAGTCTGAACCTCGTCTTCTCTAACCTCTCATATAAAATATTATCCTGATTTCTGACACAAAGAGAGCTCATTTCCTGTTTTTTCATCTGTTAGAAGAAACTCAATGACTGATGTGGGCAAATCTACATTTTTCGGCACCTTTTTGATAGATTATATCATTTTCGGGTTCATCATTTACCTCTTTGCATGCACGATCAGTTCAAAGTTTTGCTGTCATTAACTGGGTCATGTTTGCATGCCTTTACCTCACACTTTATATTCTAAGTACAAAAAAAACTCCATATTAAGTTATCACACTAAAGCTATGTTGGGTGCTATCCTGTCAGGCAAAATTTCTTTTAACTTTGATATGCGCACCATATACAAATAAACCCACTTAATTGAGGTCGAGGGTTAGCACTTTGACTTCTTATCTTTTTTAGATGTAAATGACTGAGGCATGAAAATGTTTAGTTTGCATACCTCAGAACAGACTGAGTAATGTTGTCTAAATAGGAACAAGCCTGGACATATGCCAAGCCTTACCCCCAAAAATGATTGATCTAAGAGGAGATCACTGAACTTTGCTTTGTTTAATCTGTAACTTAAACTACTATATATATCCATCCACAGTGATGCACAAGTATAGTTAACCATACACTATGTAATAAGCTATAAATTTGTTTTTTAATAGCTTATGACAGCCTTCAGTCACGGGAGGAGACGAGAAATTCCGCCTGGCAGAAGGAAGGGTGGGATGTTAATGTCTATTATACAGGTAAGATAGTACTATGTCCTGTGATGAGAAAAGAGTTAACGTTTTAACTCTGGTTTATTGAAATACATTTCATCTAAAATGTAAACCTCTGAGTGCTATTGAGGGCATTTTTTTTCCTTTGTGCACTTTTATAAGCAGTTTGAGGTATGCACTGCAAACCAGAACCAAACAAGTGATGGTACACAGTTCATTCTGTCAATGAAATCCATGTTGTAAAATATCTTTGAACCTGTCTTTGTTTTTTCTCAGTGCCTCTGATCAGAAACATGGAGTCTAGAATAATGATTCCCACAACGAGTTCCCCATTACAGTGAGAAGATGGCTGAGAATACGAGCGACTCTGTGACCAAACCTCACCGACATACCCGATCTTACTTATTTTAGATTTTCTTTTTTTAATCTGCTGGATGACCTGCACACAGCAACGTCAGATTTTTATTTTTACCTGCACTCCAGCCAGTCAAGAACAACATTACTACGTTTATATGCATTTAGGTCAAAATGTGGAAAAGAGAATAATGTGCTCAGGAAAATAAATATTGATTCTGTGATACTATCATGCTTTTTTTTTTCCACTCCATGAATCATTTATAGGAGGGGCTGTCTTTTTCTCTCTGGCTGAGGGATTAGTGTCGGAGCAGATTTGTACCACTCTGCATGAATCACACTGAATGTGATCACGCTAAGCTTCACAACAGGCTGATTACAGTTTGCAGTAAGATGTGCAAAGTGTCTGTCAGAAGAAGATGTGCCCTTTTATGAAGTTGTCTTGACTTTCTAATAAAAGGTTGACACAGTATTCTTAGATATTTGAATTTTACTTATCAGATAACAACTCAGAAGTGTATAATCCAGGCATTAAATTCTCTTAACTTGGACTGTGTCCAGATATTTAAATCTGTTAAAACAGCTCAAAGACGTTGTCTCATTTCATGGAGCCCCTGCTGAGAACAAAGCCCTCTCAGTCTGACTTCAGAGCATGTGAAAGGAAACTTTTTACAAGCCCGCAGCAGCTTTTTGGACCCTCAACTGCTGCTGCCTCCTGTTTATGATGCCAAAACACAGAGACAAACTGCCTGTTTGTCTTTGTAACCGTCTACTAGTGTTAACATCTGTAAACTTGACAGCAGATTCTTGTCATTCTCGGAAATACAAATTGGGCACACGGCTTTCTCTGTCTATTCCTCAAGCAGAATGGTTTCAGTTAGAAATTATTCGAAAATATTTGACTGTGAACCAGCTTGAAAAGAAAAATGTACTTTTGAGAATGTTTAAAATAGTAATGTCCCAAATTATATTAAAAACTTTCATAGTTTTTTTTAATTAATTTATTAAAATTCAAGCAAATTGGCATAATTACAACATTCATTCCCAACTTAATAAATACAGGTCTTATAGTTTGTTGTTTTGAAAAAAATCGTCGGAACGTTGGAAGCAACTTCCGGGTTCTTCGAACGTCACGTGGACCGAAATGCGCGAGACGTTTAGCGCGGGGTGCCTGTAGCTTTAAGGCGAGGGGGCGTGTCGACGAGGGGGTCGTCCCGTGCGTTTGAATATACAGTAGTTCGGCAGGGCTGGAACACGGTTGCGTCGGATGTTTTTTTAGCCTAACGAGGCGCACACGGAGGGGCGCTGGGTCTGTAGCCGTCGCAAAACGCTCCTGGGCCGGGTTCCCATGTAGCATTTGTTCGCTAGCCCTTTAGCTAGGACGCCGCTTCCGCCCGTCGCGTGCTCATACAAACGAGCGAAAGGGACCTAGCTCTCTCAACGGGAACATGGACTTGCACATACTGGACCACAGGCTGCGGGTCACCAGCATATCCAAAAGCGGGCTGGTTCATTTCACGCACCCGCTCATAAAGCTCATATTCCTCCGCAACAGGACGAGGTAAGGACCAGAGCAGATGGTTCGTTTTTCCGCCCCGCAAAATGAATCCGGTCCGGTAATCCAGCGCGGATAAATGAGCCAGAACGAGCATTACTGGGGTTTACTGAGCCCTTGTTTGTTTGTTTGTTTGTTTGCTTGTCAGTGCACGCTTTGCTCTGTACCTCCACGAATTCAGACTCTTAGTTGCATCCTTTCTCTAAAGCCCTATTTTTTTTTGCAGATCCGTTAAAGATCTACACGGGTGCACACTGCTTCCTCTGAGCTCTGGACCAATTGGGGCTTTAAAAAAAAAGAAAAAGAAAAAAAAAAGCCAACAGTGGCTCTCCCAACACAAACTTAAAACCTGACCTCCTTCTGATCTTTCATCCCAAATGCTCCCTATCTTCTGTCACGGTTAATCCACAGGCATCCTGTTTTTCTGTAATAGTTTCTGCCTCCAGCTGGCCTGGATGAGGAGGTTTCGGGCCACTGTGATGGAGGTCATCTACTCTTTCTCATGTGAGGCATCGAGGAACGATTATCCCCCCGATCGTCGCCTTTGAGACATCTGCAGTCATTCCCTCTACATAGATTTTTATCAGCATGTGTCTGCAACAGAGCAGCCATTGGACATTTTTACCAGAAAGCAGCAGAAGCCCGAACTTGCCCGATCATCTGGGTGTGCTGCACTTGGTCCCCGACTCTGAGATCTGAGATTTGATTTGTCTTTTTCCTCTCGTAGTGGATTTGTTCAGGGTTCTCTGGCTCTCTCGTATTTTTTTGAAGCCGACAAAAACACGTTTGGATCAGATGCAGCGTGTCGGGATGACTTGCCCTATAAACTGTTGCTCTCCCGTTTCTTAGAATTACTCATATAGTTACAGGGAATTGTCAGAACACGACTTTCCGGAACAAACCAGAAAGAGCACGCCGGCCTTTCTTCTTTACATTTACAGGCCTGTTTGTTTTGTTTTGTTTTGTTCAGACTGAGTCCATACCCTGAGTTGCATCATCTCTCTGCACCGTGCTGTTTTTCCTTTTTCCTTTAGCTGGATGTTGTCATTTTTTTTTGTTTTCTCAAACTATAGGTGATTCATTAAGGAGTGGCAGATAAAACAGAGACATGGCGAGGGAGCAGAAACACGCCACATAGTTTTGGCCATCTCCCTCTTTCGGGCCTCTGCGATTCCTTGAAGAATAACTCCTCACACACAGCGATCTGAGAAGAATTTTAATGAGCTGGCCACTTACAAACAGCATCACTTTTACAGTTTGAGACACAAAGAATTTCCCTCTAACATCCAACCGGAGGTTTTTGTACAGATTGTATGACTTTAACTTGTCTGAAAAAAACAACTCTCACACGATTGTTTGCGGCATTTGTTTTGCACATACACTTTTACTGACGTCGGTCTACTTTTGAAGATAAAACATTTCTAAATTTAGAGCTTAGCCTGGCATCCTGTGTATTTGTTCAGACTTTATAGGTGGGGTAATCATCAAAGCACAGTGTCAGGTCCAGAATGATTGTCTCTCTGCATTGTGGATGTAGCCCCACAGGCTCCATAGAGTTCTCCTTTATTCTCTTTGGCGGTTAACTAACTAGAGCATTCACTGGAACAATGCCTCGGCCGAGCCAGAAACCCATTTTGGAGTTTTCCACTTGTCTGCTTCAGTGATCTCGAAGATTGGGGCTCTTGCTCCCCCCCTATTTTTCTCTTCTGTATTCACTTTTGTTTTTGCTTACAAGTTTGGACAGTATGTTCAATCCCGACCGTCCTACATCGAGGCCAATAGCTTACACTTTGCATCCCTTTTCTTATCATGTTTTCTCAGCTGCAACATCAGTTTGTACCACCCCCCCCCCTCTCTTCCGCCACCACCAGAGGCCTACCAGAGGCCATGTGTCCGGCTGTAGTTCTGAGAGGCCGGATCAAAGTCCGCGGCCCTACGTGCCTGGTTTCCATCCTCCCCGCTTGGACTCTCGCAGCCTGTTGCTTCCTCTACCTCTTCTGGTTGTTATCCTTTCTTCGTCAGATGTTAGGAACTTATCGTTCCAGCCCATTACCACCTGGCGATCGCTCAAAGGTTGCACATTATAGCCATGGACCTACGAAAGACTGAATTTTCTTTGCTCTTATATTGGGTAAAGTCCAATTGAACGGCCCAGTCATTCCCTCAATTGGCTGTGAATGTAAATGTGTCGTCTCTTGGTGAGGAATAAGGCTGTTTCCTCTTCCAGACAGTTCATAGATTGGATTTAGAGAGATGATACTGAGGGCCTTTGAAAGGAGGAAGTAGGGAAAGATGAAAGGCAATACAATTTAATAATGAAATGACTAAAATAAGAACGATATTTCCTGATTCAGCCAGGAAATGGACACATTGAAGCAGTGTTGCTGATGCCGCGATAAGACATTTTAGTTGTTTTTTGCGATGTTGAGCACTAGCGGCTCCAGGAATTAGCCACAGGTGGTGTGGAGTGGTGATCGCTTTCCAGATTCTGCAGGATAAGGACACATAAGGTGTCTTCGCCATGGTCTGAGAACGATATTTTTTTATCACGATGCCTCCACTCCCTTCATAAGAAGTTCAGGAATGTGCGTGTTCAAGGGAACTACAAACCTTCTTTAAATGTTAGTAAAATAACAGTGAATTTGTGGAACAATGCGAGTCCCACTGTTCTCCTACGCTCCTCTCAGCGTTCTGTCATGAACCGGTACCTAGCTGAGGCCTCTTATCTGTAGCCCGCAAACAGGAAACCAAATATTCGCAGGAGATCCAATGACGAGTTTCGTTTTAGGTTTGCTCGACAGCGAGTCAGCGCTTTGCCGTTGTTTTACAAAAAATCCCGCTCTGGGTGGCGGGATCCCTGCTCGACATATTGTATCTGCAGGAAACTGCAGGCTGTGGAAGGCTGAGGGTTCGGCAGGAAACGAGACGGGCGCTCAGAACACAATGGCGTTTTCTCTCCCCGTCACTCAGGGGTGCGATTGAATGGTTCAATGGCCGGGATTACTTGTTTTGCTGAGTCAGGAATTCGCACGGTTTTGCTCAGGCTCTGGCCATAATAGGCCCGAGCTTGACCGGTGGATAGAAAAAGGAGGAAGTAGCATCTTGAGTGAGATGTAATGAAACAGGAAAATGCTGCGCTTCCGTTTGAAGGAAGAGAAAGAAATGATTCTATTTCTGCAAACTTTGCAGGTAAATTTTTGTACTTGTCGACGTCGCTTTGTTGATAGACATCTCTCAAAAGCCTTTCTTTCCTGCTCTTGATCACATACTGGGAAACATTGCCAAAATAGTTCTACTTCCATACAGGAAATCCATGTCCATAAAGTCAAGGACCAGGGTCAACATCAAGTACTAACTATCCCTTACAAGCTACAGTATTAGGCTCTAACAATTGGCCTGTAGGACCAGAGTCCAATAGCAGTGTCTCTTTGTATCTGGGTAAAGCTTTTTAAATTAAAGCATCTTGTGGGTGGACCGGCACATATTATGGATCCTTGATTGACTTAGAACTTTGTTAGGTAGGAGGCCTGGTCAATAGTCCCAGCTTGTCCATTTTATCCGCCACTGATCTCTCGTGGTGATAAAGGGCAGAGCCGGTTTCACCTTTTTCTCTGTTCTGTTCCTGCTCTTTATCCTCGATGTCTGCTCCTCCACTCATTTTTAGTGTGGGGGCTGACTCGGTCAGTCATTACCTGGGCTTTTTAAAGCTCAGTTAGCTGCTCCAGTGGGTTAACATCCTCCCCGTCGCCATGGTTATGCATCATAACATGTAAAACATTGGCCAGAGTTACCTGCAGAAGTCCCTCCGCCATCAGAAAAAGCAACGTTTCTGCACTTTATGGGTGCTAAGCACATATTTGAAGCTCAAGGTGAAAATCCGAAACCTGAAATGGCCACTTAAGAGGAAATCTGTCAAAGTGAACAACAGACAGGATGCCTGTTGAGCTGCCCACACAATTCACTTTATTATGAACTTTTTAGGCTTTGCTAGCTTTTTGAAGTTGTGCTTGTATGAAATGTTTGGTGCTTTTCCATGCCACTGTTACCCACTATTTCCTGTAGACAGAAGAAATGCAGATGTAACATTGAGCTTTTAGCTAAAAGAGTATAGCAGAATAATCCTGTTGAGAATAACATGGTAGATAACACTGTTCCTTTGCTTGCTTTGTCCCTTGTCTGTGACTTTTTTTGGCAGAAAAATCTCTATATTTACACTTTTCTCTCTTCTTTTTTCCTTCTGCTCAAGATGTAAATTTTTCAGCCTGACTGAAACACCAGAAAACTACACGGTCGTCCTTGACGAGGAAGGATTCAAAGGTAAAACTCAGCACAGGTTCCCTCACATAGTGATTTAAAACATTTTTTCTTACAAATATAGTAGCACGTCTGCTTTTAGATTTCTGGTTGTAGTTCAAACCATTAAAAATCTGATGCACTGATGTTGCTCCTGCGTGAGGAAAACTGCCCTTACATATTTACAATTTAAATATAATCTGCATTCACTCATTTTAGAAAGGAAACCAGTTTTGTACATATATAGGCTGCAACTGTGTATGAAACATGGATGTCTATGTTGTAATATGACGCATTTACACTGAAAGATGTTATCTACAATAATAGTTAAACTTTAGATTAATTACGTATGGTAACATAAATAAATACACACTGCTAAATGCTATTTTTTCCACTCTTTCGTAACTTTTTGATAATTTTTTTTTTTTTTTTTTTTTAAAAAGCTAGTTTTTTTGTTGGAATGAAAAAAAAAACAATACAAATATTGGTTGATTTTGACTATCACTTGACTATAAGATGCAGTTGTCCACGTAGTAACAGGAGATGTTTGCACAATTCTTTTCTTCTTTTTTTTAATTGAAATATTTACTTGTAACATACAAAAAGTATGTTCTGTGAATGCTTTGTCTGATGTGACACGGCTAAATATCCCTGATTTAGCTTCATCGTTGTTTAAGCTGCTTCGTCCAAAGCAAAAAATTGTGAAAAAAGTAGCGGCTAAAAGTTTCTAAATATATTTTGTGGTAACGTCACTAACTCTGGGGATATATCCGCTAAGATAGCAACACAGTTTGTGTGCTGCCATTGTCCCAGGTGCTGAGGTTATCCATCTCTTGCCCTTTTTCTCAAGATGCACCTTTAAAACAAAACTGAAGCACAGTAGAGAGGGAGGGCTCTCCAAATTTTTAGTTGGAATTTTTAAACCAACAATCGTCACTTTTCTGTCCCTTTTGGGACCTTTAATGTGTATTCTATAACAGTTCCACTTTTTTTTCTTCTTTTTCTTTCTGTTATTGCTCCGTCCTTTTCCACAGATGCAGATGTTCAAGGCATGTTTTTGCCTCTGGGTGCTCTGTTACTCTGTCTCCTTTTTCTCCTTCCGAGTTTCTATTTTAAGCGGTGAAAGCTGGTTTAGAGTGAAGCCGCAAAGGGCCGTCTGTGACAAATTATGCCAGCCCCGACCGAGGCCAATTTCAAGGAGAAAAAGAGAGAGAGAATGTGAAAATAAAAGAGTATTCACAATGTGCTTGTTTTTCTTTTTTTTTTTTTAAATATTATTCACACTAAACAAATAACCAAACTTTTTGCCTCCTGAAGGTTCTCTAGATTAATTTAATACAGATAGTCAAGGACAGTTTTGTCCCTTTTGAAAAGGATAAGCGTCAGTATGTTTGACGGAACATGGTATTGATAAAAACTAAAACGGTTTGTGTCTTCTCTTATCCAAGCTTTGTATTCTCCAAATTTGTTCCTTTTCAATGTCTTGTTCCTTTCCTGGTTTTGAGATGAAGAACAAAATGTATATCTCCAAACATTCCTCATGTAAACTAGGCATTCTGAGCTATGACCCTGTTTGAACTTTGACCCCCCCCACACCAAAAGTATCCCGGTAAATAAAGAGCTGGTGTAGCATTTCACGTCTCGTCCTCCCTTCTTTAGGTGGCGTTGACCCCTCCTGGGGATAATACACACTCTGCAGCATAAATAGCTATAGAGGTGTTTTAGTTCTCCATGGCAAAAGAAGGCAAAGAAGGAGACTGCATTTGGGAGAGAGGGAGTTTGTGTGTTATATTGGCAGCAACAACAGGAAGTAGTGCATCTTAGCTTGAAGCTTTACAGTTTTTGTATTTTGCGTTTGAAGTTGGGATATCTTTGTCATTTTTAGTTCTTTAGTGTTTAATAGTTCCAGTGAACCCCGACATGTTAAAGAAGTCACTCAGTTTTTGATTAGATTAACCCGAACATCCACTAGGTTTCTTAACGGTATGCCAGTTGCTCCATTATTACAAAATAAAAGTGTTCTTTTGTTGTAAATGGGATTTTTAGGTGAATGGGAAAAGTTTACCATTCAAGAGTTTAAGGCTGTTTATTTCTGAACTGTACAGTATGAGCAGACAAAAATGTTTTTAATTATACATATATATATATTATATGTGAATATGTGTGTGTGTATGTATATTGACTTTTTTAAAAAGCATTTTCGATCGCTGTGCTAAGAGCATGTCGTGTAGCAAAGATGGTTTTGGTTTGTTTGTGATTCTTCGGTGCATTGGCTGTGATGTCACCGCTGGTTTTTGGAGTCTTATTTTGAACCCCCTGCTCCAGCGTTTTGGTCATATTGGTGCTCTGTTGTGAGCAAGCGATGCATGGAATCCAGTCCCATCGTAATGGGAACGAGGCTGTAAAACGAGATTGTTGTCTACATGTGTTTATGAATCATTATTTAACAATGTGAGCACTTCCTTCTGTTAAATGGGACAATGTCACAGTTAAGACTTTGAAAACATTTCGAATGATGTTACACTTCAAATGAAAAGTTTAATTATTTTCCCTCAAACTTAATTGACTGAATTTGGTTTGTGACACAGAGTCTCCACCTGTTGGTCATCAGATAGAATACAGCTTTAAGATGCTACTTAGTTTGCTTCATTTTTGGGAAAGGAGGGCCAAATTTCATATGTGATTCACAGTAATAAAAAAAGCTTTTCAAAGGCTAATGAGTAAATCACGATGGGCGTGTAAAAAAACTCATTTTTGGTCAGACTGACCAACTCTTGTTGTTTTTGCTGGCCCTCAGAGCTGCAGCCGTCAGAACACCTCCAGGTGGAGACCTCCACCTGGCTGCCGCTCAACGTGGTTTCCAACGGCAACGTCTCCAGCAGCTCGCAGGCGGTGGGCGTGACCAAGATCGCCAAGTCGGTCATCGCCCCCCTCGCCCAGCAGCACGTCTCCGTCTTCATGCTCTCCACGTACCAGACCGACTTCATCCTGGTCTGTGCCACCTTTTAAAAAAAATGCTTTATCTTTTTATTGTATTTTTCAGGTATCTGCTCCACTCTAATCCACTCACATCCATTCTGTCTATGTTCTCTGACTTTGAATAAGTCTGAGGAATGAGGCTGAAAGCTCTCCCGGGCTATAAAGGGCTTTAAGGGGCCATTTGTGTCGGCTATAAAGGTGCAGCCAAGCAGCTTATCTACACATCTCTGCCAGACGAGAGAAAACACGGGGTTTGCGTTTCGTTCGCTCACCAATTTAGCAGCTAAGCACCTGATTCCCGGCAGAGCTGAGGATGGTAGAACATTTGTCCGTATTATGTGGAGTGGGCAGAAATGCTTAAAACGTTTGAGTCAGCAACAGAGCTAATGGATGACAAACGGGCTGAACTTCATCCCTTCACGGGGGAGTTCACGAGCTGGAAAATGGCAGCTTTGATGTTCAAGTCGCTCATTTTTGTTATTAGGTGAAAGAGAAAGATCTGTCGGTGGTCATCAGCACCCTGGAGGAGGAGTTCAACATTTACAAAGAGGTGGAGGGAGAGTCGGTCCCCGTGGGCTGTCAGGATGTTTCCAACGGCCTCCAGAAGAACGGCAAAGAAGGTGCAGGTCACAACCCCCTTTCATACGCGTTCCTGACCAATAGGTTAGCCTCAGACAGCACCATCTTCAAGATCTTAATAAAACACAGGTGTCTTTTATTAATCGACCAGTATACAAAGCAAGGTGCCATACTTCTGCTCTAAAGTTGTGTAAACAAAACAAAACAAAACAAAAAAGGTTTGAAATATTCATATTCTTTCGTGTCATTTACAGTGTTTTGACTAAATCCAAACAACTCTTGATTTAAAAAAAAAAAAAAAAAATATAAATCGGTGGTCATCAGCAACCTGTTTCCACATCGGATTGATTTTTTGCTTTTATTTATTTATTTTTTTCTGTGTTCCTCCAGCCATCCGGCCCACGGTCCACCCGGTGCTGATCCCGCAGAACCAGTTCTGCGTGATGTCCCTGGACCCGGACACGCTGCCCGCCATCGCCACCACCCTCATCGACGTCCTCTTTTATTCCAACGGGTGAGGCGCCGTTTACTCCCACCGCTGCAGTTCGTCTCTGAGGCACGGGGGGGCAGCACACGATCAGGAGGAAACACCAGAGAACAGTTCAGCATAATGGGACCAAATGAATTTTTCATTTATTTATTTATTTTCTGTTGTGCGTATCACAGGAGCGCAGTCTTTATATTTACTCTGTGATTATTTTATTGGAATTTATTTAGTCATCATTTTTATTTGTAATCGTCTTTTTTCTCTTTTCTTTTCTCTTTTTTTACACTTTTTCAACATCGCCTCTAGTGATTTAGACTACTATCAATGTTAATTAATGAGTGGGACATGGGTAGTAAAACCATCCATTTAGCTATCCACTCCTTATAATATTTAGTCCGAGTGGTTAGGCTGCACAGGGATAGCAAAAACACTTCTTTTTTACCATTTATGTTTCAAGAAAAAGAAAAATGTATATTATTTCCAAATAGAAGTCACAGAAAATGTATTTTAAAAATGAAAAAAAAGGAGGTTTTCCTTAATTATTTATCAGTGTTCCTGTGTGTGTTGTGATAAAAGTGACATCCCTCGTACTGAACACATTGTTCTGCTTTGTGTCTCTTTGTGTCTCTGTTGTGTGTCTTTCTCACCAGCCCCAATGAAGACACCCAGTCGTCTCCAAGCAAGGACTGTATCAAATTCTTCTCCTTCTCCCTCATTGATGGATACATCTCACTGGTGATGGACACTGAGGCTCAGAGACAGTGAGGATTCTACATTGTTCTGGCAAATCCCTCCAATCTAACTGATGAGAATCACATTTATCACTGTTGGAAAAAAACTTGAATTGCACAATAAAATAGGCAACATCCATTTTCCAGTTTCCACACTGTCAGTCAATACAGTCAAAAGCTGCTTTGCAGATTTATTTTTTAAAGATTTCTTCTCTTGGAATTGTTATTTCTCAGGAGTAAACTTACTTTTGAACTGAGATTCTTTCCATTTGTGTGTTTTCGGCCATGTTTTTGCTCTTGGAGGTTTGGTTGATTTAAAAATTTTGTCTTTGTTTTGTAGATTTCCTGCCGACCTTCTGTTCACCAGCTCCTCCGGGGAACTGTGGAGAATGGTCCGCATCGGGGGACAGCCACTGGGCTTTGGTAAGGGTTCTTATTTTAAAGTGTCCTGCCCAAACGAAGGAAACGAACTGGCTCAAGCATCCTTGTCCCTTCCCCATCACTGTTGCCAGGTCTCAACACTCGCCATCAAATAAAAGCAATAGAGGCCACAAATTTAAACATAATGTCAAATGTAAAACAACATTTTTAAAAAGTTGGAAGTTCTGAAAATCCATTATGGGAAATATTTGCTGTTTTTCACACAATCTAGTCTTGATCTAATGGGTCCTCTGTTAGAACCAGCAACTTTATTTTAATAATAATAATAATGAAGGGTATCAATTATGGCCTTCTGGACAGTTTTCATGTCTGCAGTCTTCACCATATTGAACCAAACTGAAGCACTTTACTGACGCCAGGGGAAACCTGTGCGGGTGCTTTGGGTTTAATAGATGATTAATGAATGCGTTTGAAACTTTCATGCAAAATTTGAGATGATTTCCCCACAGAATTAAAATGTTTTGAATTCCTGTTTTCATTGGTTTTATGAGCTGGAAGCCCAAATTATGTAACAGTAAACAAATTAATACTTGGAATTGTTTACATCATTGGCCTCAAAGTCTCTTAAAAGGGTCTGTATATACTAATCACCATGGCATTAGTAAGTTGTGGTTCTCAATCATTGTCTCTTAAGGGAAAAAAATTTTTACGTGTCACCTTATACAAGACTTTTCCAGTTACTGCAATGGAAGGAGATTCATTTGAATTGTCACAATGAGGTGGCAATGTGGGTGGCATCTCTTAAAAAAAAGTTTGATTAGCTCTATTTGTCATCAGAATCAAGGAATGAAATAATTTAAAAAAAGATACCGACCACACTGTGTTGAGTGACATGAATTCTTTTGTGTCAAAGGTGATGGAGTGTTTTTAACATCTGTGTTTTTCTTTTAGATGAGTGCGGTATCGTGGCCCAGATTTCTCAGCCCCTGGCCGACTGCGACATTTCCGCCTATTATATAAGCACCTTCAGCTTTGACCATGCTCTGGTGAGTCCCACGGTTTGGTGACGTGAACTAGGGGAGCCTCACCTTCCGCCGTGCGCTTGCTCATCACACCGATTAACATCCTGCCATGCTGGTGTACATTTCCTTTGAGTCACGCGTGGAGAACCCCATTACTTTTACACCAGTCATCTTAACATTTAAATTTAACACCTGCCGAGATGGTTCCTGATCCTATGACTGACTAATCTGTTAGTCTCCTAATTGGGATTGTTGTGGGTTTTTTTAGTGTGCCCATGACGTGCAAGCTTGTTCTTTCCAATCTTGCCACCGAAATGACTCGCATTCAAGTTTTTTTTTTCTTTTTTCAAACAAATTTCAAGTCTTACGTTTAGTTAATTGGGAGCTCGTTATTTATTGAACAAAAATGAGCCGGCCTGATAGATGAGGTAAGATTGTATAGTAGACAAGGGACTTTATTGTTACTTTTTATGTACGTTTTGGTCCAGAAGGTTCCGCAGCATCTTCTGCAGAACGACCAGACTACTAAATAGTTTCTTCCCCCTGGCCATCAGACTACTTAACGCCACATAACCCCCCCCCCATACACACACACATAGTTATTGATGTTTCGTTGCTAAAAAATTTACTCTGGTAGCCAAGAAATTTACATTTCGTTGTCTAATTCACCTCGTGTTTTTGACAATGACAATAAAGGAAGTCTATGTCTATGTCTAAATGCCTACAAATGACCATATATGGGCATGACTACCGGGTCATGCGCAGACGCTTCCGGCCTGCAGGGTGGTCAGCGGCGTTAGTAACGCCCCCAATCGGTGAATCATTGTAAAGTTCTTACAGTTGAAGTGTCGAAATTGATCTGGGTGGGTGCTCCCATGTGCCTGTGTGTGTAGCCTCTTGAGGAAGACCAGGGGAGGCAGCAGTTTTTTTGCAAACTCCATGTAATTCGTTCGGTCACATGATTTCTTGCACCAAGAAATTGCGGGAAAGCGAGACTGGTGTGTGGCGGAGGAAAGCACCTTATGTCCCAGCGGCCTAAAAGACCAAAGCGGGGCTGGACTGCTGTTTATGACTACTGTAGTGGTGATTGTTTGTCAAACCAAACATCCAAAAAATGTTCCTCAAGCCACTAAGAGGCACTGGGGTCCAGTTTCTGTACTCGGGCAAAAGATTTCACATCCAAACTTGTTGATTATTCTTGAAGGTTTATTGGTTCTTTCTAGCAACAATTACAGAGTTCAAACTTTCCTTTGTTCTCATTCTGTTCTCTTGCTCTGTCTCTTGCTCTGTCTCTTGCTCAGATTTTTTGCTCTGATCTCTTGCTCTGGTAAAAACCATAGGCCCCAAACCCAAATGCCTTGCTGGTCCTTTACCAGGCCCCTATACTTATAGGAAAGTGGACTGACCCACATGACCCACTTCCTGTCTAACTCAAAGAATGCATAAGAAAAATAATGAGACAAGAAATTAAATAGAATAAACAATTATTAACCTGCAAATAAATACTGTAAATAATACAAAAAATATACATTTAAGAATTCACTAACAAAATTCAAATGAATAAAGAAATAAAGAATAAATAGCTCCAACAACTACGTTCACTCTCTGCAAACTTTACAAACTATGCATGGCGGATTCATTTCAACTATAGGGAGCAAAGCAGGCTTTTCATAAGCAGGGCTGATAGTTGAGGTAAGATTGTATAGTAGACAAGGGACTTTATTGTTACTTTTTATGTACGTTTGGTCCATAAATGCCTACAAATGACCATATAAGGGCATGACTACCGGGTCCGGCCTTTAGGGTGGTCAGCGGCGTTAGTAACGCCCCCAATCGGTGAATCATTGTCAGTGGTGGGAAGTAACGAAGTACAAGTACTTCGTTACTGTACTTAAGTACAATTTCCGTGTATCTGTACTTTACTTGAGTAGATTTAATAATGGATACTTTCTACTTTTACTCCACTACATTTAACAGTAAATATCTGTACTTTCTACTTCACTACATTTCTATACAGCGTTTCGTTACTCGTTACATCCAAGACGCATTCCGGTTTTTTGATTTGTTTGTTAGTTTGAAAGTATCCAATGGCGAGAGCAGAATCAGTCCGCTGAACCAATCCAAAGCGGGAAATAACCATTAGGCCCTCCCTCAAGAAGAGCAGCACAGTACGCAGGACTGATTTATTAAAACTAAATGCGATAGGTACACTTAATGACATTATATAAGCCGTTAGGTATTATGGTTGGCAAGTACTTTTACTTTTAATACTTAAGTAGTTTTAAAAGCTTGTACTTTCTTACTTTTACTTAAGTAAAATAATAATGTGGTACTTTGACTTTTACTTAAGTAAATTTTTGTCTGTGTATTTGTACCTTTACTTAAGTACATTGTATGAGTACTTTCTCCACCACTGATCATTGTAAAGTTCTTACAGTTGAAGTGTCTAAATTGATCTGGGTGGGTGCTCCCGTTTGCCTGTGTGTGTAGCCTCTTGAGGAAGACCAGGGGAGGCAGCAGTTTTTTTTTTGCAAACTCCATGTATTTTTGTGTGGTCAGATGATTTCTTGGACCAAGAAATTGCAGGAAAGCGAGACTGGTGGGTGGCGGAGGAAAGCACCTTATGTCCCAGCGGCCTGAAAGACCAAAGCGGGGCTGGACTGCTGTGTATGACTACGTTCACTTTCTGCAAACTCTACAAACTATGCATGGCAAACTCATTTCAACTATAGGGAGCAAAGCCGGCTTTTCGTGAGCAGGGCTGGAATGATGAAGGGTTGAGGTGTTTGAAAGGTCCAGAGAGAGTCCAGACCTCAATATCCCCTACATAAACTCTTGTTTTCTCAAGGAGAAAAACAAGAGTTTGCTAAAATTCCTCCACAATGATGTCAAAACATGATACAGATTTTTATAAGGTTACTTATTGTGTCCAAAATAGCTCTACAAGTTGTTGAATCACGGGGTGAACTCCTTTTTTTTTTGTTGTTTTTTTTTTTTTTTTTGCTTCCCAGTCGGAAAAGTGAACTCCAGCAATATGTCATGTGTTATTCATCTGAAGTTGTAAGAGCTTCACTTTAAAAACCCAGTGACCAGTTTCTGTTAGATCCTAAAAAGCAAAACACAAAATTGAAAGGAGATGTACTTCTCATATGACCCCTCACTCGTGTTTTTGAGTTGGTGATCCTGATAGTTGGTCCTCTAAGAACCGGGTCGGTGCTCGTAGCCTTTTTAGCCTATTTGGAATGCAAAGCCCCCTAAACTGTGTAAAGCTGTGAGTACTAATGGAAAAGCACCTAAAGAAATGATCGAGAGGCCTTCAATGGGGCACATTTCCGACCAGGTGCAGCTTTAGGGGTTTAGGGGCCCTAAATGTTCAATTCAAAGAGGTTCTGCAACTTTCCTATTCATTTACAGAGTAGGGCATGTGTGTGAATTGTTAAATCTAGAAAGACTTGCGGGCTGAGTTAGCATATCTCATATCAAAGTTGAAATTTCCCAAGGACCAGCAGGTCGCACCCTCTGAATAGTTTGGTACGAAAAAGGGAGTATGCCCCTCCCTTTAGCATGACTTCCCCATGTAATTCGTGTTTGACTTTGCTGGATGCTTCCGTGAGTCACAATCGTTTAAGGGTATTTTATAGCTTCCTGTCAGTGTCATGGGATCCAGTTACTTGGAAGACTTGGTCACCAATAAACGGGTATTGGCAGCTTCTCTTTGAATTTGATATTGACAAACTGGCCCAGAATGATCTGACAGATTGGATGATTTCAACTTTGGCATGTCACAGGAACTCCTTAGCGGAAATCACAGAAGTGTATCTCTGATATACCCCAAAGCGGAAATGTGGGGGGAAAGGGGTTCAACAAACGGACAAGGCTCAGTATATGTCATGTGAGAGCCACCAGACCAGACAGTGGCCTTAACAAAAACATGTGCAGGGCATGTATGAACCGAAATGCTAAAACAAAGAAACAAGCAAACATTTCACCACGTGAAAGGATGATGGGAGGTTGAATCATTATCCCCTGAACTCCAGTTGACCGAGATATATATATATATATATATTTATTTTTTATTTTTTTAATATATATATATATATTTATTTATTTTTTATTTTTATTTTTTCATCGTTTACTATTATTAAATCACTTTTTCTCATGATAAAGCTTCATATGAACAATAGGAGAAGTACAACAGACCAGCAACAGCAATAGATCTGTGCTGGAGTTCTAGTTAATAGTATCTGCAGTGTATTAGATTAACCTTTTTGTTGTTTTTTTTTGTTTTTTTTGCTTTTAAAAGTGACAGGAGCCGCCTAACGTTCCTCTCCCCCTCCGCCAGGTTCCTGAGGAGGACATCGTGAGTGTGACGGACATGCTGCAGCACCACAGGAAAGAAGCAGCCACCAGCTGATTTCTGAAGTAGGAACTGAGCCTGGTGATCCATTCTCAGTATCTCCGGCTACACCTATCCCCCCCCGGGATGGGAGGGGGGGGGGTAGCGAGCTGTTAGCAAAGGGAGGCTAACTCTGTGCCTAGATTAGCACTGCATCGCCAGCAGTATTAACTACTAAGAACTCGCCATGAACACCACAAGGTTTGCCTACGATTTTTTCCCGTCTTGGCGGGAAATACCAAGTCCCCCGAGGGGGGGGGGGTCCCCAAGCACATCCCCTCGCGCCCCGAACCCCACCTCCAGACACAAAACCCGCTTTCTCCAATATTCAAGCAGGAGGTCGGGCATAAAAATACAAAAAAAAAAAACGTTTACATGTGAGGATGTGAAGTAAAATCTTTCAAATTGAGCCTCCTGCAGCATCCCACCCTCACATCCCACGTTAAGAGTGAGACCGATGCTGGAATTCAGGATACGTCCTCCAGTGTATGAGTGGGACATGTTTCTCGTTGTTCAATTGACCCAAAATGACTAATTTATCATCTGTCTGCCAATACCTGACCCAGCCATGACTGAATCCGCTTTGAGAGGTGTGAGCAAAATGTATATAGATTCATAACAATACAGAATGGGTTCCTCAACTCAGATTAGGACTCTTAACTCCTCTGCTTCGTTTTTGTTTTTTTCCCTTTGTCGTAGTACTCAAACTTCTAACTCCAAGAGACGGGAAATAGAAAAAAAAGTTTACGAAATAGTTCAAGTTTTGCAGAAATGTGTTCCTCACTCATTTCGATAGTTTCTCTGATCTTTGCACGATCTGGTCTTGGTATTAAATGGTGTGAAAGGCTTGGAACAATTTCCATCCGTCTCGATTGTTTTCCACTTGTCGAATGGCCTGATGGAAGCAGTTAGGGTTGCCATAGTGATTTCCCTCTGCTCCTTCATCGTGGGGGGGCTTTAACCAAATGGCCCCATTGAAGTAAAAAGTATTTTCTCCTGCAAAAACAAAGATTAAGCTAACAGTATTTAATTATTTTTCAGGGAAATTTTTAAAGATTTCAGCCTTTGACCCATGTGTAAGTCATATACTATCAGTTTTGCAATGTCATCTTTTTTTTTTTTCTTTTATTCAAGACAGTACACAAAAGAGGCACTTTCATTTAATTTTTCTATACTTTTAATACGCCAAACTGTTTTCTTTCTGTCGAACTTAAACATGTAGCTTAATATCAAGGTCACGTGAGATCTTACCCCCCTGAATGGTTTTCATGCAAAAGAAAAATAAAAAAAGGGGCATATTTTTAGGGAGGCTTTCACTTACTTACAGATTGTTATAAATGTAAGACTTTGTTTTGTTAAAGGTCAGCATTTTCTTACCGGAACGTTATACAAGGTCAATAACACTACGTCTTATTTTTTTGTTATTTGCACAGTAAACCTTTGGATTTAGTGAATATCACATAGATGTTTTCTTTTGGTACAGTTCTATTTTCTACAATCGGAAGCATTCTGTAAGCATTTGTTCATTTTGTGCTGCTTCGTTCAATTAAAAAGCTGATAAACCTTGAAAGGACACGGCTGCTTTTTGTTTTTTCTGAACAGATAAGTTCTGGAATGATTTGCGGTTGTCAGCGGTAACTCCTGCCGACTATCTCATGACAGGCCGAATCCTGTCACCCGTCCTCGCTTCATTCTGCTGGAATGTTGTGGCTTGAAGAAGAATTGAGTAAAGGTGTCGGCTAAAACGGGATTAGTGCATTCCCCGAATACATTTGGTTTCCTTTTGACTATCAAACACATGTTTATTTAAAGCTGCTTCTGAGAACAGAAGTGGGAACGAGTGCAGATTGGTCAATCAAATTCAATAATGCAATTGAATACAGTCCACTCATAATGGGTCATCAGGATCTGGGAGAGGAAATCAAACAAAGTGTATCGCAGATACACTTTAACTGTCAAGAGGCAAAAATAAAGAGGCCCTGGGATGGACACCTGGGGCACACCAGGAGGCATCTCGTAAGGAAACCCGGTCCGGAAATCTTCCTTCTTCCTGTGTGCTGGAGACCGGAGCACTGAAACCAGCTTCGCAACATCCTCAACTTCACCTTAAACTCTTTGCAAATTAGCACGCATGCTAATTCAGAAACGGAGGGCCTCGGTCGATTCATAACAGGATTCTCCAGTGGGTGGTTTGATTTGCCTCTCGATAAAGCGGAAAACCTCCCCACACTAGCCAAGAAATTCTCTGACGTTTTAAAGCTTAATAGCTTTAATGGTTTTTTTTTTTATCCCACCCTCCATGACACTGAGAAACCAAAGATTGGAGTGAATGGAACAACCAAAAAACGACACCCAAAAAATTTCTCAGGTCGTTAGTTGATCATTTTTACCCACTCCTATGGAAAATACTTTGTCAAGCAGCAATCTGTCATGACATGATGCTTTAAAAGATGACATAATGGGGATTTTTCACTTACTATTTGTCCAAAAGTGGGTGGGTTTAGATGACCGTATAGGTATAAATGTCGCAAATGACGGTGACAGCTATCATTAATCCGATGACTTGCTACTGTCACTATGAAGCGTGAGCTCAGTGGATCTCTGTGGAGCTATGGTGTGTATTTTCTATCTATTTGATAACATTGAATGGAATTTGATGGTACTGAGTTTGACAACTTTTTAGCTTTTCATTCTTGTTTTTCACTAAACTTCGTATGATCAACTGTTTTGATTTATTTTATTTTTCTAAAGTGTTTATACATTTATCTGATTGAATGGTTGACTTTACAGTAGGAAATGTAATTTATGTACTATAGATATTGTTTATAACCCTTCTGTTTATGGATTAAACTAACAAGCAGTGCTGGGTAATAATCTATTTAATCAGCTTTGAATTAAAAGGAACTGCTTTAAAGTTCAGTCAGTCTTTTTTTTAATTTATTGATAGGCATCTATGTTATATCTTTTTTCAGAATTCATCATCATGTTCCTCGTGGCTCAGATGCATCCCGTGCTTTCTGCTCCGACTCATATGAACTGTGATATATTCGAGAAATCCGAGTTTGTGACAGCTTTGCTTTTACACGAAGCCATTCAGACATTTGAACAATATGTAAGTACCTTTTTTTTCTTCTGCGTTGGTTGTATCCACTGAAACAACAAGTACTTTGCTTGTAAGTTTCTGCTGCTGCAGCAGCTTAAACTACTTAAACTACCCCGTGTCTTTTAGCTGATGAGCCAAAAAATCTACTCTAGTGCTGTAGCCAGGTATTATCCAAAATTTTTTAGATGATCGGTCATAGTTTGTGGGATCTTCACTTCTTGTGATAGTGCGTCATAGAAGCGGTTCAGCTTTAAAACTTCGTAATTTAGCCAAAAACCAAAGATGTTTGAGAGCTAATTTCCTTTATTCTAAAAGGAAAAATGGATTCCTCAGTTAGAGACCAGGGAATATTTCTCTAACTAGGTTTATATATTAACTCTAATGTCTGCTCTTGTTAGGATACTTCCCTCCTAGGGTGTCGGTCTTCATCTACAATCCAGACTCTGCATCCTTGTGATGAGTTTTTTTCTCTTTCACAGATAGCGTATTATCACTTCGAGGGGGATCCAGATGAGCTTCTCGACTCCACAGTGGCCGGTGTCACTCCCTCTGAGAAACAGCTGGACATTTATGTGAAGACCATGCTTTTCCGTTTGCACATTCACCAAGTGAAAGACGACCAGGAGAAGCTTTTCAAAGCTCCAGAATCGATTTTGATGCCGCTGAAGGACATCAGACATAGGCTCGGTCACCATTTGGATTTAACAAAGACGATTCTTGGCTTATTGGAGGGTGAGGTGGAGCTGCCGCCCAGGCCGACCCCGCTGGCTCTGCCCTACGAGCACCGCTACGAAAAAAAAGTCTACGGTTGGAAGATCCTGGCCTCGTTAAAGCACTGGCTGGCCCGAGTGCTGGAGGTGCAGTCGGAGGCAAAGGCCGGCTGTCTGGAGGGGATCTAAAATGTCTCCTGGGACGATTCAGAAAACAAAAATCTGGCCAAATGCCGTAAAAAAAAAAAAAAGATTATCCAAGTTCAAGATTTTCTAGTTGAAATGCCGACCTTTGGGTTCTGGGTTCGAATCCCGGGGGAACCAGGACCTTTCTGAGTGGAGTCTGCATGTTCTCCTGTGTCTGTGGGTTCTCCACCTTCCTCCCACCGTCCAAAAACCTGCATGTTAGGTTGACTGGACACTCCAAATTGCCCTTAGGAGTGACTGTGAGTGCGCATGGTTGTGTGTCTCTGTGTTCCCTGCGATGGACTGGCAGACTGTCCAGGGTGTGACCACGCCTTTTGCCCGTTGACCACCGGGATAGGCTCCAGTTTTCCCCGTGACCCCATCAGGGAATAACCGGTAACGATAATCGATGGATGGATAATGGATGCCGACCTTTCCCGTTTCCACATTTCTGCTGTCGGCTCACTTTGATTGCCACCTTCTGCGAAAAGCCTCTTGTGGTGGTCTTTGAAAATCGGCGACTCCCTTCCCTACTGGACACTTTATTAGAAGCCGGATCAAGGACTCGGCGATGGACTCCCCACAGCGGGGTTAGCTAGCTTAAATCTAAGATTCTACAAAGACTCCGGGCCTAAGAGGATCCTTCCCTTCTCCAGTCTCGCCACATCTTTTTTGTTCCGGTGTTTTCCAGGAAAGGTGACCTTTTGCCGCGTGATTCAGCAGAGCAGTGTCTCCATCTTGGACTGAAACGAGTTTTCTCCCGAGAAGTCACGGCCGGAGCATTCCGGAAACTAGCCTGATTTTAGCGGTTAGCTTTATTTATTCTTTTTTTTTTTTTTGCAAGCCTTTCAAAACGGACAGAAACTGAAAGAAATCTCTGGTATCGCTGATACAAACTTCTACCCCCCCCACCCACTCAACCATGGCAACAATACCACCCATTTAAATGATTGAGTTATGCACCACAGTGGACGCGTGGATTTTAGCCGCCTAATCGAATCCGTTTCCATGTTTACTCATTATGCGCCCTCTGCGATTTAAAGTAGTCCGTTGTATTCAGATTTCTGAAACCAGATTAGCTTAAATGGATGCTCAAAAGGCATTTTAAAAGCGGTGGATGTGGATGCGTTCCTCTTTAGCTCCGCCGGGCTCATCAGTCTTTCTGTCTGTTCTTTTTATTTTTCCGGTTCGGGTTTGAAGAGGGCATTGCGGGAAGGGCATCGGGATGAGGCTCGACAAAATGGCGTAATGTGAAAGTTGCACAATGGCAGTGACCTTTGACCTTTACCCCAAAGCGGTCATTTTACTGAGGGATTGGGTTTTTGAGAAGGCGGTCTGCCTGTTGTTCCGTGTTACAGAAGAAAATTAACTTATTATTCTTAATATAACAATGTTGGGTTCTTTTGTCTGTTTTTTTGTTGTTGTTTTTTTAAAGGCATGTTTGAGCTGAAATGACTTACTACTTAACTTAATTTGGGTAAATAATCATGGCAAAATCTTACGTGATATTTACTGCTCTGGTGAAAAAGACATTGTTATTTTTCACTTTTATTTAACACATCCGTTTAGTTTTTAATTTATTGATGTTTATTTATTTAAAATGTGTACTAATATTACATATAATTTTCCTGTCTGTGCTCTGAACAAGACATATTTATTAACATCATCTAATATCTATCAGATGCTTATTTATTTATTTTATTTTGTTGTTGTTGTTCTGATTATTATCAATGCCCTGTAAGATTTCATGTGAAAAGCAAAAAATATAATACTTTGGAAAAACATCTGGAGAGACTCCTTTTTGCAGGGGAAATGGGAAATAAGTGCAGGTATATATTGGAATGTCCAACTGTATTTGCAAATAAAAGTATATATATATATATATATATATATACACACACACACATACATACATATATACGAAGAATCAAACTATTCTTAAAAGGTTTGAAGAGATGTTGCTCAGGACTCAGTAACTCAGGACTGTACAAAAAAGAAAACAAGACATATTATGGGAAAACAGAAAGCTTATCTGCATTATACTTTTGATTTCCAACGCTGACCGTTGCCACGCCGTCGTCCTTTCAGTTATTTACTGAACAGCGGGTCATTTGCTGGTTCGTTTTGTAGAAACCCAGAAGAGCTGTGCTGTTCTGTCCTTTGTTTTACTTCCCTGAAAACATCTGGTACATTAACAGCTCAATCAGAGACAAGTGAAAACAGCTTTGCATCCTTGGATCAGCCGAAATGAAGAACAGGATACTGTCAGAATGTGGGAGGGTGGGTCTCATCTCCTCCTAAATAAACCACTCTCCACTAAAGTTGTTTCACCTTGTATGTGTGCAGCTTTTTTTTCTTCTTTTTTCTATTTTCTTTTTTAACATAGTGTCTTTTTTTCTTGTTTATAAGCATTTTGTATAGTTGGATGTTTCAAATTTGACTATTTATCCTAACCTGAGGAGGTGGTACGTTCCAGTTAGGTGAGATTGCAACAACACCTTGCTGCATTCTCACAGAAGTAAGTTTTGTTTGTTCTCACTTATTTTTCTCAAACTCAGCTTAGCCTACAACATTTCTCTTAATTCTCTTAACGCTTCTGCTAATTTCTTTTCTCCTCAAACAATTTAATCTTAATTAATCAAAAGCCTACTAATCTTTGGCATGTGACGCATGTAGGTGTGCATGAAGCAACTTTAATATTCTGCCATCAGCTTGATCCCTTATCTCTATTTCTTCGAAAGAGTTGAGCAACGGTTTTCAATAATAAACTAAAAGCAAAGGCGGTGATAGGATGCGAGAAAATGTCATCTGTGGGTTAAACTGCACCGAAATTGAGCCTCTTGAAAAGTTGTGGTTAGTTGATCGACGCACAGGAAGTGTTGCTTTGACATAGATCAGAGGGGCTGTGAATCAGAGAACTGGGTTATGTCATCAAAAAAGGGCCTGATAAAACCTGATGTGCGTCAAGAGGTGAAAAATTGATCAATTCTTTTTTTTTTTTATCACATTTTTTGTTTAAGAGTATCAAAAAAATGTATGAGAATGTTTCAACTTGATATGAACTTTTCAAAATGGCATGATATAAATTAATCAGCAAGTTTTTATGTTTTTCTTTCAGAGGAAGTGGCAAAAAGCAAGATGACTTGCATAGATTGGTTCAAAGTTCTCCTTGTTTTTTTTTTAATCAAAGGATATGGCTAAATATGAAGATAGGGAGGTTAATCCCCAAGTACATCTTGCATACGCCTCCTTGTAGAAATATAAGAGTGACCTGGTGAAACAGAGATGACACTTCACCGTAAGAATCTGTCTTGTCAAACTTTGTCTGAGTGAGTTAAAAACGCAATGAAAACAGCAACAGGTACGGTGTACCGTGAGACCCAGACCCTGAGGAGTTCTGCTGGCTTTTCCCAAAAGCTTCTACTCGGCGAAAGATGCTAAACGTGTGCTTGCTTTTGCAGGTTTTCTCAGAGCGGCGTTCGTCTGGATGGTTTTCCTGATGCACGGATGGGGAACACACAGATGTGCCGCCGGGCTCCCGTGTAGGCCCAAAGAGCTCACGGCCCTCACCAAGAGTCTGGTAGAGGCGAGCCTGACAAGTTTTGTGAGTAACAGAATGGTGCTGGAGTTTATTCTAAAACATATCAAACATTAAATAGCATCCTATGGAAGCTGTTCCTGTGAACCGAGTCTAACTATGCAGATGTCCAGTCGGACACTATATGTACAGGACTGTCTCAGAAAATTAGAATATTGTGATAAATTTCTTTATTTTCTGTAATAATATAAAATATATAATATCTATATAATAAAATCTGTAATGATTTTATTGTTTTAATATAGCTGATAATGGCGTACAACTGAAGAAAACTCAAAAATCCGATATTCTAACATTTTGAGATAGGATATTTGGGTTTCTTAAGCTGTACGCCATAATCAGCGATATTAAAACAATAAAAGGCTTGCGATATTTCAGTTGATTTGTAATGAATCCAGAATGTATGACATTTCATGTTTTTTAATTGCATTACAGAAAATAAAGAACTTTATCACAATATTCTAATTTTCTGAGACAGTCCTGTATATATTTGTGTGTGTATATATATATATATATATATATATATATATATATATTTATACAGACATTTGTACAGACATGTATATATGTATCTGACGCTGTTTTATTTATGGAGCCATTAACAAAATAATTTCCCTTATTAAAGTATTTCTGATTCTGATAAATTGCACAATCCTAAAAATTGGCAATCCAAAGACTGATATTCAGTCTTTAGGTTTATCAATGACATTAAAAATGTGTTGAAAAAGTGTACATACACAAATGTTACTGTTAAAGTTAGCATCTTATAGAATCAAATGCAGGTTTGCTTTATGGTGAATGGTTGATTTAAAATCTGTAAATTACATGTTCATATTATGATTAATGATGTTAAAGCTAATTCTTGCCCCGTTATATTACCAAACTGTGTGACGTTTTACAGCTGAATGTCATTAAAACTAGATTTTAAGAGATTTAGAATACATTTTCTCTCAATTTTGTACGATAAGCATTTTGGGCATGACTCTGATCCTTTTGATTAATGATGTTAAAGCTAATTCTGGTCCTGTTATATTTCCAAACCTGTGTGATATTTTACAGCTAAAAGTCATTACAACCAGATTTTATGAGATTTAGAATACATTTTCTCTCAATTTTGTGCCATAACCATTTTGGGCATGACTCTGATCCTTTTAAAATATTGAAAGGTGAATTTCATGAAGAGATAAGATTGCAGGCTTGGTCCGCGTGATGAGTTTGTAAAATGTTGAACATGTTTCTGTTCGGCGTTTTCCACCAGGACGAAGCCAACGGGAAGCACCTGGGCACCTGGAGCCCCGGCTTCCCCGAGCTGCAGGTCCACCCCGAGTCCCCCCCCACGGGGCCCCAGGTCCAATGCAGCCTCCACTTCTTGGCCCAAGGCCTGCTGAAGATCTTACACGACCAGAGAACCAGCATCTTCCCCAGAGACGCGCCGCTCCTCCAGACCCTCAGAGACGCCGTTTCCAGGGTCCAGCAGCTGGAAGCGTGCGTGAAGAGTTATTTTGGAGGCCAATGTGCCCCCAAACCGCCTCCACCCAAAATGCCAAAGTACGTGTTTGAGAGAAAACAGTGGAGTCACACGCTGATCAAATCCGCCAGGGAATATCTGAACTGGTTGCAACATAAGTTTCAGAATCAGATTTCAAAAGCAAGAAAAACAAGTAAGATGAAATGGAGTACTCAAAAGGCAAAAAATCTGGGGTACTTTGTGGGAAGAGGGCATCAGTTGTGATTTCCGATTTGAAAATTGAGGTTAGATATGCAGCTATGAATTTAGAATCTTCACATCTAGTCTTTTTTTTGCTTTTTTTTTAATACTAGGATTGGGTTTATGAATAACTGTTGACAAAGTAACTGTAAATGGAGCTGTGAATGGGCCGCCTAAAGTAAGGTAGCCAGACTTAGCTTGTTAAATCTCTTTCTTTTTTTTTTTTAAGGTAAAATTAATTTATAGGTCTACCTTTAGCTCTCACAAGTTTTTTTCTAATCACTTTCCTTAGCAGTGTTGGGTGAGATTATTTCCACCACCCTATGTTGCTGTATAGATTCAATATTACAATAAAAGATAGCACCCAGTTAGCTTAGCATTACGTAGCATAACTAACAGACAGGAATTTAAATAAATGTTAAAAAACTACGTCCATTTTCAAAAAATGTATATAATTGAATTCATAAACAGGTTTTCTAAAATAAGAATCAATTTGGGGTTTCCTATTTTCCAAAAATGTCAGTTTCCTGTTGCTTTGTTTAGCTAAATTTGATGCTAATTGTTTCTTTCACAGCTGCATCTCACCAAATTGTGCTAGATTTTAAAAAAGACATACCAGTCCTAATGTAAAGCTATTTCACAAATGGCTTTGTTTTATTAAACCCCTCTAAGCCTAAAGAATTGACACGTCCCCCATGTGACGGTAATTAATCAACTTGCTAAGGAAGCAAGTGAATTTCCTAATTGCAGCCGTTTGTTTTCCCGGCCTTCACAGTGATTGATTGTTTTGCTCTGACCACCTTTCCCTGGTGGGCCGCTACATGCCTGAGGCAGGGCAGGAGGCTGATGGGAATCTTCCCTCTTCAGACTCTAATCAGTGGATTTCTCTGTGAGATCTGCAGCCAGATGGACAGTGAACCATCGGGCATATTTGTCTGTCGGACTCCCATCAAATAAATGTAAGAAAACAACATCCTGAAAACAAGATTAATGCCGGTGTCGGTCTGCTCGGGCCTAGTGACGAGTCAAGTCTTTTCCATTTCATTACTCCCCGTGCCCTTTAGATTAGTCCTAAAAATGTTAAAAGTTAATAAGATTTGTTTGTCATCACTGGTATGTTTTTCTTAAATAAAAAACGTGCTTATTTCAATTATGTTCTTTTCTCTTGCGTATTTATTTCAGAGTTGATGATTTCCCATTTTTGGTTAAATTGCATATCTAACAAAACTGGTTATCAAATTTGTACACACTGCAGAAAAATAAAAAAAAAGAATAAATTGGGGCACTACAAGCTACAAAGAAAACCCTGTTTTCACCATTTAATAACACACTGCAAACACTTTCACAGTCACTTTTATTAAATAGTGATTTCGAACGCATGCACGACACATAAGTAATGAGACATTCTTTGCCGTTTTATATTTATAAAAAAAACAAAAACAGAAAAAAACTCCAGCTTTTTTGAAAAATGACGCCTGCTTTATGACATGACCTTGTTTGAAGTGACTCCTGATGGATCAGCTGCCTGTGACTTAGACCTGGTGATCATCACGGATGAATGTAAGAAGCCTTCTATGCACTTATGAAGTGTAAATAATAAATCTCAAACAACAATTTTGCCTTTTTTTTTGTTTTTTTTGTTTAGGTTGGCGATCTCTAATGTCAGCAGTTCTTTGCCGTAATAATGCAAAATTGTCTGACGTTAATTCGGTTTTCTTCTCTTCTCAGAGCCCCCGTTCGGTGTCCCGGCGACGACATTTGAACATTTTTCAGACCCGCTCCTGCTTATTAACACACAGAGGCGGGTCCAGGTCATATAGGGAGGAGCTCTGGAGGACTCTCGCCGTAGCAGTACTTTGCTTGAGGATTTCGGTAGGTGTTCTCATGTTGGACACTCTGTGTAGGAGACAGAAAATGTGATAGACATTATACGTACATGTAGACATATGTGTGAGATATGAGTTATCTTCCAGTCTCCTTTCAACGAAAACAAAAGCAAAATATTAATTTAGGAGGATGGTGACATTTTTCATTTTATTAATGAAGAATACCCTTTTATTTTCAGCTGTATGCATGAATAGTCCCCTTTCTTTGACTAATTCGTGACCTACTTGTGAAGAGGTCCTACACTTGGCCAAGCACAGCTCAAAATGATCCTCCACAGCAGTGAACAGATTCTGGAAACCTTCAGCTGCGCGATTCAGGAAGCGCTCCAGGAGAGGTTGCTGAGAAAGAGCAGAAAGATGAAAACGGATCTGTTAAATAAAAAAGATTCTGATCAGTTCTTTTTTTTCCTCTTTACTCCAGCAGACACCGATATGCACATGTTGCATCAGAATTCCTCAGCTAAACTGTGTGTCTGAAACCAGATGCAGCGGACAGATATTCGCGTCTTTCCTTATTTTTATTTTATTTTTTTTCATTACCTATTCCTGTTCAGCATTATGGTAGTAGAACTGAAATCTGCGTACTGTGCTACGCTGGGCAAAATTGCTTTGCCAAGGGAGGCTTTGTTAGTGAGAAGCCCCCCTTTGATTACCCAAAACTTCTTTATTAATTCATTTTTGTTACCAAACTTCCATATGTCCAATAATACCGAACTTGACAGAGGGACAGGGGGGAGGGAAGGGTAGTGGAAAGGAGCGAGATTCTTTAGAGAGAGAGAGAGGGGGGAGAGAGAACAAAAAATAAAAATAAAAAAAAAGAAGGAGAGAGAAAGACAACAAGAGCAGATGACCACTGTTATGTCTGCAAAAAGGACTCTGATCCTTGTGGGAAATCCGGGTGGAGAACCTGTAGGAGCTCCTAAAAAAGGGCACAGGGAAGACAGAAGAACAAACGAGCAACGAAAGCATCTTTCCTGGTGCGGGTCAAAGCTCTCCGGTTGGTCGGTTACCTTATCGGGCTGCAGGCAGCAGGACACGCAGTACTCGTAGATGCTGCAGCACCCGTTGGCCAGGCAACTCTTACAGATGAACTGCCTGCTGCTGGGGGCCTGGACGTTACAGCAGCCGTTCACCAGCAGGTCCTTCCTCTCGCAAACGTATCCTGCGGAACGGAAAAAAACAACAGGAAAACGGTCACAGGGGCTGATCGGAGACCGTGCAGGTGTGTGTGTGTGTGTGTGTGCCCACCGAGTTCGTCCGTGAGCAGCACCTTGCCCTGGATGGAGTTCCTGCACTGGCTGATTTGCCGGCTGCTGTTTCCCAGGTTGAAGCGGACCTTCCAGGGGATGCGGTGGTCCGGATCTTTAACCTCTAAGAGCGTGCGGTCTCTGATGGTCCGCTCCTCCTGCATTGGGGGGATAAAAAATGTATCTAAAAATGTATATATGTATGCCAAGTCAAAATACAAATAGGGAAAAAAAAAAAAGCTGCTGATTTGATTCATATCATGTGGAGAACTGAAACTGAAATCCTACGTTTAGAGACAAAATTAGTTAAATGATTTATCTTTTTTTTAAAACCACAGCGGTATCACGATTGTGTGTGTGATAGCAAAAGGATCCGGTGTGTCCGCAGGTCTTCATCGAGATACCATCACTCTGGTGTTTATCTTTGGACGCAGAGGATGGCAACTAACCGAAGCGTTGCACGAAATAACTGCGCAAATACCTGCGATCAGAGGATGTCTAACAGGCCAAATTGTAATATGCATATAGTAGCAACGACTATTTATTATGCTGCAGGTTTAAGATGCACAGTGAGTGCTTTTTCCTGGTCGACAGAGCAGGCTCATCACAATCCAGGGTACCTGCTCATATTTAAAAAAAAACACTAAGATGTTGGTTCTCAAGTTACTAACTATTAAAAAAAAAAACTATTGATATGAGTGTTTATGCAAAACAGATAGAGATAAATGAAGTCAAAGCAATAAGGAAAGATGGATGCAACAAAAAAATAAAGTGACAGCATAAATAATAACTTATTTATCTGACTGAAGTGCTGTTTTGGCGCATTTAAGGGATGTTTCGGTCCTTTGACAGCCGTTTGCACCATTTAATAATGGTCTCTTTAATCTGGTGTAGGTTGCCTGTACCTGTTTGAGTGTGCTGGTGAGAAAGTAGATGAGGGACAGTCCGAAGACGACGCCCAGCACCCAGCGCTTCCTTAACAACCTCCGCAGCACCATCATAGCATGGCTTTATCCGGGAGACGAAGGTGACGGTCCAAAGCATCAAACCTCCCAAATAAAAAAAAGCCCAATAATCCTACGCTCCAAAGAACACGTAAAGCTAACTTGAGCAGCTCGATATGACACTGGTCAACTGATAAATACTCAAAAGCGACAGGGGCATTCCGGGCACATTTTTAGCTAACCCATGCTGCGGTTTCCAGTTATTAACGTTTATTTGAACTGATAATATGTCCGTGGCGAGCTGTATGATGAGGTTATGTTCCACTTTTGCTCTGTTTTGAAGGCAGGCATGGAAGCTAACGGTGCTCGAGAGAAATTAATTGCTTTGTTGACCCTGCTAGCTAGCTCCTGATAACATTAGCTTTCGCCAGGCATAACGGTCAGCACAGCAGAGAAATGCTAACAAAATGACCGCAGGATGACGCAGTGTCGCCTCAGCTGAAAATACCGTTTCGAGAGTGTCCGACAAACCCAACGTTACGAAAAAAGCTGCGGTAATGCTTTTTTGTTTTGTTTTTGTTTCCCAGCGAATCCTGAGATTCCCTATCAACAACTAAAATTTCCAACACGGACGTGGTCTGTCGGGAAGGCGCACGTTGATTGGTCGGCGGCGCTCCCGCTGACGTCATACCGGAAGTTTTTCTGGTGGAGCAGCGGAGAGGCAACAGCGGCCGAAACACACATCCGTGTCAGACATGACAGGAGCCGAGGGCCGATTCTCACAATTAACACAGGTAAAGTCTTGACGTTGGTGTGGAGAGAAAAGCGCGACACGTCCAACGCACGATGCAGAAACTGCAGCAGATAAAAGGTCGAACACGGTGTGATGATTTTGGTGTGCGTTTGCAGGGTTGGACCATGTGGTGATGCCATGCAGAGGAGACACAGCAGCAATACGGATGGCATGCCCTCTGAAAGGTGCTCTGGTGCAGCTGCATTGCAAGCTCTTTTGTTTCTGGGTGGGGCTTCAATTCGTCTAAAAGCCAAATGCACAAGGACACTCTTTTTGCACAACCATAGGCTTGTTTTTTGGGGTTGACAGCATCACCTGGTTTCAATTGAGGCATATTAGGAATTCTGTGTGTTTGCAGTTATTTGGACTGGCTTTGCTCGCAGAAATAATGGTATCTATCACCACAGGATTGATTTTTGTTGGTGTTGTAGCAATCACTCTCCTTTTTAGTGGTTTTCCCTGATGTGCAGCAAACATTCTAACTCAATAAGGCCTTACACTCTCTAAAACATTTCTTTTTAAAGTGCGTCATATAAAACGAAAAGGTGACGTGGTGAGTTGACATTTTGGATCATACACAGTCCAGTGTATGCAGCACTTGCGAATGAATAAGCTTAATAAAGATTCCCCTTAATGAGCGTAATCATATACAGCTTTATGGGCTTTGGAATTGATTCTACAAATATTTTTAACTTTCAGTAAGTCGGCATTGTGCTCTTAAAACATTTTCCTCATCACGTGTCCTTGTTATGGTGGTCTAAAATCTCCCATAGCTTTTCTATCGAGACATTTTTCATTGCAGCATGAAGGAAATCAATCAGAGAATCTACGTATTGATCTACTAAGACGTTTTTGTGAAAGTGCCTCTAATAGACCCAGATCACGGCAGAGTTGTGTTCACTATCGTGTACTGGAATAGTGGATGGCAGTCAGAACGAATTGCAATTACTCGAAAAACTGAGATTCAGGAAAATAAGCAGTAACAACCAGTAACTCTGAGCACTTATGACTTTTACTTCATTCCCCAAAAAGGCATCTCTCACTGTAAACATGAAACTTCTCTTCTGTTATCTTTCTGTGACAAAACATTAGAGAAAGCGTTTTTTTCCTGTTTTTCCCTGTTATTTCCATGTTTTTTTTTCTCATTTTTCTGTTATATGAGCAACATGACTGCCTGTGAACGCTTGAAATGTGTTGATTTCCATATGCTTTCTGTTATTTTTTTCAAACCGACGTCAGGAGTCGAAGCCAAACTCTGGGATCCGAGAGCAGCCTGGACGAGGGCGGCGTGTTCGACTGCCTGAAGCCCGACGCGTCCACTTCACCCCAGCAGATCTTCTCGGGCCTGGTGGGCGTCCCCTCCGGCTCCGTCTCCTCCGCCCAGTTCCAGGCGGCCGGCTTAGTCCTGGGCTCTCCGCCCGAAGTCTTCATCCAGATGACCGCGTCCTCCAGGGAAGAGGGCGGCCCCCACCGGACGGAGGGCGGGCCCTTCCTGCCCCGGCCGCCCCCCCACCACCACCACCACCACCACCACTTCCACCACCAGCCCCTGCAGCACCGGGCGCCCTCCCTCCTGCAGCAGGCGGGGGGCTCGGAGAGGCACGGCTCCAGGGAGGAGGCCCCGGAGGAGCAGTCCACCCCGGCCCCCGCCCTCTCCGAGCTGAAGGCGGTGGTCACCTGGCTGCAGAGGGGCTTCCCTTTCATCCTCATCCTGCTGGCTAAAGTCTGCTTTCAGCACAAGCTAGGTATGCCCAGCCTGTGGAGTAACGGTGCCGCTACCGTAGTCCAACAGTACGGCGTTAAAAGAGAATTGGTTGTTTTTTTGGTGTCTGCAGGTATCGCTGTGGGGGTGGGGATGGCCAGCACGTTTGCCTATGCCAACTCCACGTTCAGGCACCAAGTGTCATTGCGGGTAAAACATAACAAACAAAATTAGAAGAACAGAGTCATATAAATATTAGATTAACATCGGGCACAACTTTTTTTCTTTCCTTTTTTTTTTTTTACTTATAATGAAGAATAAAGCAGGTTTCATAATGATATCTAAGGTTATAAAGTCCCTGAAATAATAATTTATAATGATATAATAATTTCCCTCTGGGATTATTGAAGTATTTCTTATTCTGATTCTGAAAGGCACCAACCCAGCAATTTATCTGTATCATTTCAACCTTTCTGTGTCACGGTGGTGTGAAGAATATTCGGAAAATGTCTTTGAATAACTCAACACACAATTTTTTTCTGTCAACAAATGCAATCTAATGAAGAAAATGAACAGTTATTCCCCTTAACAAAATGAGCTGGAGTATACACATACCAAAGGAGAGGCAAACAGACCAATGTAGACCACAAATCCAATTGGTTTGCAACATTACTGTAAACGGTGTTATTAAAGTAATGTTATCTTTAGTAATTTTTGTTCTCCCCCCTGTGTGCTTTACCAGGAGGAACGTTCTGTATTTATTGCTCTGTGGATCGTGCTGTTCCTCGGAGGCAACGTTATGTACGTCTACTACACATTTAGCCACGAGGAGCTGCATAACAGGTATCTGTAGTAGCAGGATCTGTAATAGCTGCGCGCATCTTTGCCCACCATCCTATCTTTTGTCTTTATTTTACCGTTTAGAGTATTCCATTCATGTTACTTTGGTGTGCAAGTCACTTTATTTTCACTTCCATTTCCTTTAGGGAGTGTTGCAGTATTTGTCTTGTCATGTCCTGTGAGTATTTTTTATTGATTTATTTTTGTATGGTTTTGTTGATCAGAATTTTCCTGCATTATATTTGAACATTTTTACTTCACATTGCTGTTGCTTGTAAGTCGACCATCCAAAGTGGAGCAGCAGGTTATCTAGACTGATGTCTTGTGTTTTTTTTTCTTTTCCCCAGCCTCATATTTGCAAAGCCCAACCTCAGCAGCTTTGATTTCTTTGACCTGATCTGGGCGGTGGGAATCACCGATTTTGTGCTGAAATACGTCACCATCGGCCTGAAGTGCTTCGTCCTCTTTCTGCCCAAGGTTTTCCTGGCTTTCAAGTCCAGGGTAAGACATTCTAAACGTGTGTCCCGTTTGTCAGATCTCCCACAGACACCGTGAACAGTTTTTGATGTCTTCTTTTAAAAAGGGTTTCCATTGTTGTGGTCAAAGAAAGCGCTCGCTCTGATTGGCCGCTAAGCACCGCACATGCAGAGCAGCACAGATGGGGAAATATGAGTTTTTGAGTTGCCTATCAAAGAAAATAAGTTTAAAGGTCATAGATAAATTAGTTTGGATGGCAAAACGAGCCCAAATCACCCGACAGACTTAGCAGCAAAATGAACACAGCTGATGACTCTTTCAAATATTTGGCATTTCAACGATACAAAATTGACAACAAGTACATACACAACCAGTGCAATGATCAAAATGACCACAAAGAGACTTAAATGAAATGGACAGAGACAATAAACCAATAAAACCCCAAAAGGTGATGAAAAAAAGTTGGTTTAAACCGTTCATTTTTGCAACCACAAAGATGATAAAAGGACCCTCTAAGGGACCCAAAATGACAGGTTTTCCCGAATTGGAGGCTAATCATTTTTCTTTGAACCAACAAACGTATAAAGTGCCTAATGTGGTCTCAACACAGGTCAAACTGGGTCCGTTTCTCTGAAATAAAATCGTGTAACTGCGGGCATTACTAAAGCATCGAGGGACTGGGCCAAAGTGGAAATCCTTAGCTCTATCTAAAAATGCTTTTCGTTGTCCAGACGTCCGGTTCTTCTTCCACGAGCCCGTGCACAAAACCAAAACTTGGTCCAAACCCTGCCCAGCCTCAGCTATCACGAATCCACAACGCAGTCGATCTTAGAAACTCTCAAATGCTCAAACTCCTCCTCATCCTCGGGCAAAAGAGCGTGATTAGGTTCCGAGAAGCTCGCGCTGAAAGTAGCGAAACTAAGTTTGTGGTTCGGGAAGGGTTGAAAAAAAAAGAAAAAAAAGAAGAGGAAATATTGACTGAACTATGAGAAACCTGCTCTGCTGAGTGTAGATAGTGCTCAGGGGTCACAGTGTGAGGCTGTTTAGTATTCATAAGGTTTTAAACGCTGAGTGTCTGCTTGCGAACCTTTTTTTTTCCGGCCCGAGGCGACCGAAACGCGCGCACACACACACACACACACACACACACACACACGCACACACGCGCGTCCGGGCTCCATTTCCATACAGGTGCAGCTCGTAGTGTGTGTTTGTGCGCGAGACAGAAGAAAGAGGAGGAGGAGGAGGGTG